GAAGAAGAAGAAGAAGAAGAAGAAGAAGAAGAAGAAGAAGAAGAAGAAGAAGAAGAAGAAGAACGCTAGAAGAAAAAACAAGAAGGAAGGACGCGAGGAGAGTGCTGAAAGGGAGAATAGAGGAAATACGAATAGAAAGGGGTAGAGAAGAATAGGAGGAGAATAGAACGAAGAGGAGGAGGGTGAAGGAAGGGAGGAACGGATGAGAAGGAGGAGGGGGGAAAAGGGAAGGCAAAGAAATAAAAAGAAATGGGAGAAGGAAAGGTAACAGGAAAAAAGAGAAATCACAATAAAGAAGAGATAAGAGAAACAAAACAGAATAGAGGAAAGACTGAGAAGAGAAATAATGAGGTATAGACAGTGAAAAGGAGGAGGAGGAGGGGGGGAAAGAGCAAGAGAAAGATGAGTAGGAAGAAGAGAAAGAAGGGGAGGAGGAAGATAAAGAGGAGGAGGAAAAAGAGGAAGAGGAGGAGGCAAAGAGATTGACGATTAAAATATAACAATAAAACATATCGCCACAATTTAACAACTTAATAAGGAAGACAATGAGGTTTAGTACACTTCTCCTTCATTGTCAACTGACGCCCAGGTATTGTGGGGTGCACGGCAAGAGTCAGCTGATTAATGCACCTGTACCTGGGCAAGAGTCAACTGATTATTGCACCGTTACCTGGACAAGACAGCCGATTAGTACACCTATACCTGGGCAAGTCAGCTGATTAGTGCACCAGTACCTGGGCAAGTCAGTTGATTAGTGTACCTAAAATTTCCAAGCAAGAGTCAACTGATTGCACCGTTACCTGACACAAGACAAGCCGATTAGTACACCTATACCTGGGCTAGTCAGTTGATTAGTGCACCAGTACCTGGGCTAAAGTCAGCTGATTGGTGCACCCAGCCTGGGTAAGTCAGCTGATTGGTACACCCATGCCTGGGCAAGAGTCAGCTGATTAGCAAGTACACCTATACCTAGACAAAACAACTAATCAGTACACCTATACCTTAACAAGAGGCAGCTGATCAGTACACCTTGTCGTTCGGGTCAACCAGTCAGACTCACACCGCTCTATATCACCCAGAGACCAGACAACACAAACCTCAAGTCGATAATTACGCTCAGGGGGATAAGAGTGTACACGGTGGCAGGGATGACCACCACCAACCAGACTCATGCATCGGGTTACCAGTGGCCAGCGATGTGATATTACCACAACGATGGCCACTTTGTGTGTGTGTATCGCTCTCCCTCTTGTCCTTCTACTTCTCTCCCTCACTACCCTTCCTCTTCTCTTCATCACTACCCCCTCACCCTCTTCTCCCTCATTACCTCCCCTCTCTCTATTCCAATTCTCCCTCTTATGCCTCTTCCATTCTCTCAGTACCTATCCTCTTTTCTCTCTATCTCTCTCACTTCTTTTCCCCCTCCCTCCCGTCTCTCCACCACCCACTTTCCCCCTCTACCATTCACTCTCTCCGGTCTGCCCACCTTCCACACTCTACCATTCACTCTCCACCATCCACTCTCCTCTCTCCACCATCCACTCTCCTCTCTCCCCACCATCCACTCTCCCTCTCCACCATCCACTCTCCCCACCATCCACTCTCCCTCTCCACCATCCGCTCTCCCTCTCTACCACCCACTCTCCCTCTCCACCATCCACTCCCTCCCTCTCTCCACCACTCCCTCCCAGCCATCCAGGACAGGCTCAAGCTAATACTACACTATTGGCTGCTGACCACAACCCCTCCTAGGTCGACCTGCCCTTCTCTCACATTTCTCCCCTGCCTTATTTATCAATTTTCTTTTTGCATCTTCTTCTTCTTCTTCGAGTGGTTTATTTTCTTAACCTAAAGTAAGTCAACTATCCTCAGGTGATTGAACTTGATTCACCTAACATAACTAATCTAAGATGACCTAACAAACATCTAACCTAACCTAATATGACTAAACACCACCCAATCAAGCGTGACTTAATTTAAGCGTAACTTAATTTTGTCTAACCTATAACTGATGTTTCTTTGGGGAAATTTATCTATAAATTAAATAGCAGCTCATGTTTAGAAAGAAATTGAGAACATAAATCAATCTAACCGCTCTGAATATCGTCTGCCAGTTGCCAATGTGTGTGTGTGTGTGTGTGTGTGTGTGTGTATGTGTGTGTGAGTGTGTGTGTGTGTTGGGTCCCGGTCACGGTGAGGAGTGGCAAGCTTTACCCCCGGGCCAGACGAGCTGTTAAGTGAACCGTGAAGCGGGAGCAGTAGCCTAGGCCTCATCTCTGTCACGAGACCAAGACAACATCCAACTTCTTGTTAACTTTACCCGTGAGGATTGTTTAAGATTAATAAATAACCTTTAAAGAACTGAAATGTTACTGGTTGACCCCTACTCAATTTTACCTGTATACCAGTAATGTAACTCTTCTCTAGACACCTGTAACTTCTAATCACATGATCTGACTTAACCTAATATGAGCTAAGACGACCTCTCACCAGATCCTCCCTCACTTCAAACAAGATGACCTGACTGTCCTGACCTCATCTACAACAAGACAACCTCATGTCACACTTGCTCTTGGTTTGGTTATCATTAAGGTCAAACACCGGCGTGTCATTGCAACGCTTCACCGCTCACTGGAACCTTCTTCACTCTCACCATCATTAAGAGACACCATTAACTCCTCCTTAAACCTCACAACCTCCTTATGAGCCTTAGTTTCTCTCTTGATGGTTTCACACACTTATAATTTACTCCAATGTGTCTAGCCTTAACTGTCTACGATACTTCGCCATCCGTGAATGATCTTATCTTCACGTCAACGTTCTGTTAGTATACATAAAAACTATTTGTTATAATGTAATCCAGAAATTGTGTGAATCTTGCTATTTTTTTTTTACGAGTTTTGTTGGTAATGGAGGTGAGAGCTCTATAGGGGCAGTGTGGATATAATCAAATTCAGTATCACATCCTACATACACAAGGTAACCGACCTTGTCTTTGACTGTATTCACTCACCCAACTATAGTGCGTTGACACCCAATCGCAGCTGGGTGGGCTAGGGGTAACCCGGGGGAGAATCAGCCACCCAGAGGACAGGTGAGCACTGTATCCCACTCACCCTTACCCCCCCTCATGGTCCTTCACACACATATACTTAGACATAATTATTTTAAAGCTTATATAAACAACCACGCGGATGAACACAAACAACAACCACGCGGATGAACACAAACAACAACCACGCGGATGAACACAAACAAGTATCATTAAACACAACCATATTCTTCCACAAACACAAGGCTAGACACCTGAACACACACAAGCAATTTACACACATGCATTCATACACATAAAAACAAATAAATCTTACACAAACAAACACCTCCTGCCAAGGTTATCTGCTTGATAATATATATATTTTTCCCCTAGGTGATGTTCTGCAAGGAGAACGTAACCTTACCAAACCACTAATTAACTTCGATAGTACACAAGACAGTCCACTTCAGATTTACCACATAACACGGTTCGATTATAACTAAGATCATTTCTTACGTGTGATGTTGGTCAAGAATTGTGTATAAATTTGTGGTTACAGCGAAAAAAAAAAAAAAAAGTCGTAAGTTTTGTTGAGTGTATCATAAGATTGTTTTTCGTTGCCACTAATTCACCTCGACTGAATTTTCAAGAACAATACAGTGAGATACAGTCGTGTCTTCTCAATGTCAGGGATATAAGGGGATTTCCATGGTAAATAAATCATATGCAAATTGCCTTGAATGAATCTCAAGCACACGAGCACATGTTCTAGTCATCTCAAGGTCAAGAGAGAACGTCACTGGTATTTCCGTAATAAACAAGCCAGTGACAACCTTGCCATAGACGAGGGAGGCGCCTCATCAGTGACTCCAGTTACAGCTTATGGGGCATGTGGTGACCATCAAAGTGTCATTGAGAGAATTTCCCGAGGTCCCACCTGCCGCCTGGCCTCCCTCAGTTACCAACTTTTATTTATTGTACAAATTTTACGTACGGACCATTTCTTTTCAACGTTCCGCTAACGATATCATAAGCAGGTGAAAAACATACTTATCATTTTACTTGTTTTTGTTTAAATCATCCGTTATAAAATTAGATGACTCATAATATTGAAACGTTTAACGAAACGTATGGACAATCATTGAAGATGGTGACGGTAGATCAGGTTGTATAGGGTTATCTGCATGTTGGAATTTTAGCATTTTTGGGGGGGATTAGAGTAAGGTTACAGGAATGTGGGATATGACCTAAGGAAACAGTTATCTTTCTACAGACGAACCACATTACAGCTATCCCAACCCTCCTCAGATATTATCGTACACAGCTTAGCCTTTCAAGTGGCCTAAACTGGCAAGATGAAGACGCCTACCAGCATTCGTATGGAGGACAGCAATAAAACTAACTTTTCATCTGTTAATATGTCCTCCATCTTAAAAAAATTACATACCACTCGCCGTAAAGAAAGCCAATAATATTTATTCGCGTATCTAGGCAAATCAATTATTTCAGTATTTAAGAAAAATAATGTTATCAGTGATGACGCCAATACCCCGCATTAGGACGAACGCCCGCCAAAATTCAAACCTTAGGATTTGGCGGGAAATACAGGAATAAAAGCCTCGCATTGTATTTATTTAAAAAAATACCTATTATTCGATACTGAACGCTGAACAAACGAAAGTTAAATATACTGCGATTAATTTTCTTTTATATAAAACACAACACTTTGCATTTGTTTACTTTGTTAACATTTAGTCAAGGTCATCATGAGTGTAAAGGTTACATTATTGGCAACAATCAACACAGGCCTCAAGGCTCATCTTATGAACACCAACCTTCCTGTACATCTTTTAATACCTGACTAACACAAGGTGTGAGGCAAGAGTGAGTGTCAGTGTATGGACTAGGGTGTACTGTAAGGGGTTTGTGCGTGTGCTACCCCCCATCAAGACGTCACGTGACTCACAGGCAACATTGAGGCGAGGGGCCTGGTGCAGGTAGGCGTATTCCTCCTTGCTCTCACGCTTGTGTCTGCCGTACTCTCCTATCCTCTGCCCGGCATCTTCTTTACGTACGATGCCGGGATCAATTCGTCGTCAACAGAATCACATCCACACAATTGAGGAAGCAGAAGTCATCTTGTGTTGTCCGTAGCTTGGTGGGCTTATTATCTTAATGTTGAGGCTGGGCGGTCCTCACTTCCCCCTGAAGGTCGCTGGTGACTCGCCAAGGCGGACTTGACAACAACTGTGCAGAAGGTTGTTGGTAAACATAAACCCATCGAGAATGAATCAAGATGGCCTTTCATGTTAAGATGTAACAATGTATCACTCTAGTTCTCACAGCGAAGGGAGAGTGACCGGGCGAGGTAACACGGGAGAAACTACAGTACACGGGCATCAACAACTTTCACCATCACCACCTTCCTCTCACTACCATTGGTAATAATATTCACACGTTCACTCTTTCAACTGTTTTGGTACATTTTCTGTGATTTAACAATGGTAATTCACTTCAAAACACAAACACCCGGAACTAACATTGTATAAATACTGTATATATACATATATATTATATATATTTATAATCTTATACACAGTTTTGATTCGTTTAAACACTTACATCAGGGAATTAATAAAAAACAATGATTTTCACCAGCACACCGAGGATCACTATTTACGTGACAATTGTAGTTCCTAACACTAGACGCTATCACATCACTTTCTTGGAAATTCACTTCTCGGGAATACGCTACCACGTATATTTTTCCGGTCCCTTCACCACCACACACGATTATTCACTTATTTACCACTGGTGGAAGTTGTCATCCACTTAACACAACAGAGACGGTTCACTCTTAGCCACCTTCCATTGTATTACTCCACTGCCTCCTTTAATTACTCTTCATAATTAGTGTTGTCTTGATCACCCCTCTCATTACCAGACGTCACATAACTTCCATGTTGGAAGAGACGTTATGGTGGAGTAGGTAGGCGGAGGAGACCCGTGCGTGGCGCGGGGTGTGTGTGGAGTGAGGGAGTGGAGGTGTGTGTGGAGGGAGGGTGGAACGGGTGGAGGAGTGTGGCGCGGCGCGGGGCAGCAGCTGACGACCACCGCAGTGGGCGCCCAACTAGGCTGAGCCCAGGGCGGCGGTGGCGAGCCGCTGCTGCTTCTGCTGGGCGGGCAAAGGCTTGCACACGCGACCTCACCAACGGTGTTTACGTTCACCATCATCAGCCCTGGTAGCGAGAGGGTCGACCAAACTAGCCACACATGGGTTGGTGTGGTCACCGCTGCTGCTACGCCACACAACAGTGACTGGGAGAAAACGAAAGTGAGTGACCCCCTGCATCTCCTGGGGTGCCAGCAACATGATGCTTACCTGGCCACATGCCCTAGACGCGCCCCCTCCCGCCTGTCTGCTTGCATGCCTACCCATCTGCTTGCATGCCTACCCATCTGCTTGCCCATGTATCTGTCTGTCTACCTGTTTGCTTGCCTGCCTACCTGATTGTTTTCTTTTTGCAATGCCTGTAAACATGTTTGCTTGCATGCCTACCATCTTGTTTGCTTTCATGCCTACCAGCTCGTTTGCTTTCATGCATACCAGTTTGTTTGCTTTCATGCTTAACAGCTTGTTTGCTTCTATGCCTACCAGCTTCTTTGCTCCCATGCCTAACAGTTTCTGTTTTCATGCCTACTAATTTTTTGTTGTCTACTAGCTTGTTTTCATACCTACTAATTTGCTTGTTTCCATGCCCACTTGTTTATATCCAAGTCTACTAGCTTGTTTGTTTTCATGTCCGCTAGCTTGTTTGCTTTCATGCCTACCAACCCGTTTGCTTGCATGCCTACCAGTGTTTAACTGCCGACTAACCTGTTTGCCTGACTGCATGCTTACGTCATCTCCCAGCACGCCAGGTAGTGCCTTTTTCGAAATTGTGACCTTGACATTTGCCCCTTTGATCCCTAAAACATGGGACTGTTAATTTGAATATGTTTACCAAGATATAATGATTGTACTTCCTCCCGCTCTCAAAATACTGCGAATAGGCACCATCAATATGAACTGCAATTCATATTCGTTGAATATTGTACAGTACCTTAAAGTCTAGATTTTCTTGTGAATTTTCAAACTGCATACTGAAATAAGAACTTTACCCTCAAAGCATGAATAAAAGGCTTGACTGCACTCATAATGGTTTAAGATTTGGAGGATTGACGACGTGATATATAATGCTTAATGCATGTTTCGCTCAAGCTCCTGTGGACCTCTTTGGGATTATTTTGCAAATCGTGTTCATTTTTAGTGTGCTGTTCTTGCTCAGCCATTCATTAGTTACTGGCCCAATTTTAACAGAATGTAGAATGCTGTTCGTTAATTTTATAAGAAATTTTAAATGGTGATATCTGGATCTCTGTAAACCCCCTCCCCCCTTGCAAAACCCAGAATGTAATTCTAACAAAATATGCTAACTGTCTCAACCAATTAAGAAGAAAATCGCTTCCGGCATGTATGAAGGCATTTTATCAGGGAATACCTGGTACTATTTTTTTCTGGGTTAAGAGTGCTGCAGCGGCAAACTGTACGGAACGTTCCGGTAAATGAATTAATCATCTCTCAAGCATCTCATTCTAGCAGGAAAGCAAAATTTGGACAGTTCAGTGGTCCATGTCTACATAAGGTGGTGGCTCGTCTTCATTTGTTGTAACGTTGGACAGTGGCTTACTTCATCAGTAATGGGAACAAAGTTTGTTGAATTAATTCACACGTACTCTTAAGCTAATTTGACCCAAACGTATCCAAAACCACCCATGATCATTAGGATAACCGATAAACCTAGATTAACTTTAGTAAATTAGCTCGCAAGATCTGCTTCAATGGTTTTCACGCTAGTTCCCTCGCCGACTTGCACTCTTCATTAAAACAATCAAGTGAAGATCCCGCCACAAATACCTTTAAAATAATATGAGAACCAAACTTAACATTTACCAGAAAATCAAGAAATTACCTCATTGCCAGTCAATACAATTTCCTTATTTACTTAATGGCCACTCACTAGAGGTAGTTATGCCGAGGGAAGGAGTTAGTGTAAGCAGAGGGCTATCAATCAGTAGACCTACGTCCATTCCCGAGTAAAAGTGACCACTTGCACGGTGTTATTTCTTCTACAAACATTATAATACTCTAGTTTTTTTCTTACAATACTTCTAAACAATAACTCGGTTAGTGACTCATTCTTACGCAGCATAAATATTATTATCCCATTTTGTCATCGTATTGTGGTCGGGTAGGTTTTGGCGGGTACATTTAAAGTAATTTTTCTAAGTTCAAATATTCAATTAAGGCCCAATAAGAACATGTTAATATCATTATTATTATTATTATTGAAAACTGTTTCGGATGTCAGGTTTGAAAACTAATTTGACCATATAGTACTTAAAATTACAGTAATACATGCGAAGCCCACTGTGTTCTTAAGGGGGGGGGGAGGCGAAAGGCGAATGACCAGCACAGTTTGACTACATGATTAAATCAAGTGAGATTGACTTGAACCAAAATAACCTATCCAAATCTAACGATCTTAGATGAATGTTAAGTTCAATTAGATACGTTTGGTTTGTTATTTTTCTTATTTTAATGCCAATGATTACGTATCCAGTTTTTTCTGTCGTCCGCCATCGTTTCTACAAGAGGGAATAAGGTAAAATTATCGTTTCGGTTATCCACCTATTTGGAAATTGGTAAGAATCGTTCAAAACACAACGGAAAAACATGATCAAATATAGATATAGATTGTTATCATTCACTAATAGCCTCCCAAACATTCAATCACAACCAGATTAGGTTTAATCATCAGAAAACGGGGTTTTTTTTTATCGGATAAACTTATCCTCTTCGCCGCTGATCGATCGGCTCGTTAGCTGTGGGTCACGTCTCTGTTGGTAAGTACTGGCTCCTGAATGTACCTGTGCCAGTGTTGATCAGGTCTGGTCTTAAAAGAGCTCACATTCGGTGCCATCATAACAATTTTCACTCCGAAAAAGTTTGCCCTCACAGGTATGATAAAGTGTATCAAATATCAATGCATCTCGATAACCATAACTTTTCCTCTACAAAATTTGATGAAAATATAATAAGACGAGAAAGGGTAAAAGCTACTTTACCTCTTCTTAATGTTATTTTGGAAATAGTAACCTCTCAAAGGATCATCGAGCTCGCCGCCATGTTTCCCTAACCAAAATCTTTAAAACTAAGCGCTTTTTACTTCGCTGGACGTCTTTCTTTTATTGATATGAATCGTAGGAATAATGAACAATCACTCTGCAGCTCACCTTTTATGTCTGTAGAGGGAAAATGCAGTTGTTGCCCAAGAACTGGTGGACTGAAATGTCGGTGACGGCCACACACCTCCTCGGCGCCAAGTGAATCCTACGAATGGTTAATGTTGAAAACTACCGCGAAAAAAGTAGCCATTTTTTTCTTAGTAATGATAATTAATGAAGTTTTAACAATTTATTAGTACCTTAAAGTCGTTGGGTTAGGTTCATATTATTTGTTTGAGAAAATAAATAACAAAACTTAGTGGTTGTATTTGTAGTATTTTTTCTAACATTGATAATTATTTTGCACTTTCGTCGTTCGTGATTAAATTTTCAGGACTATATTTTCCTGTTCCTCAATAAAGGTTTATAAAGTAAAGTTGGTCTTTCAGTGCTATATGTCTGCCTATTCTTACATGTCACACTGTCGGGGTTTATGATTTCCCACCCATTGACACTTGTAATTTTAATTTGTTAATTTTCACACACGTTTCGTTATAACAATATATGTAAAGAGAAAGTAATTGAACCTTTCCGAATATTTTTAGTTAATGTTGACCACTTCGTTCAAGAAATTGTTGTTCAAATAAGGATAAGAGATGATGAATGTACAGTACAATACGGAATACTTGCCCAAACTAGATGACGAGGTAACCTCTCCCATCGATTATTAATACAATTTTCTTTATTTTCATGGAAATTATACCCTTCTTCTACCTCCGAACCTAGGATAATTCTTTTTATATGTTTATCAATGGAAAAGTCCGACTTACTTAACCTTTCCCTGGACTACGTCTCCTCAATGTAAAGTAACCTAGAATCTGCATGTTACAATGCTACAAAAAATGCAATCGGGTGTAGCAGCAGAGTGAACAAAGTGTTCGTCCCTTGTACAAAAGGTTTGTGCTCAGGGCACCCTCATTCTACCTGGTTGTGAATGGATACCCAACATTAAGTTGTGAAAGTGGTCAAATGCAGTGCCAGACACACACTGCTTACAAGAGCACCAAAAACGAGCTTAGACTCTAGTGTAGTGTAGTGTATCTGGCTATCTGCACTCCTCCTAATAAGCTGACAGGCTTGAAACCTACTTCACAATATTTTATTGACTCGATGTATCCTATTTTTCCTTAACCAGCTATGAACGCGAGAAATTATGGTTTTAAATATAATAAGCACATGAAAATCTACACATCTTTAATAACCCATAAACCAGTACAGTACTGTATACTGTACAAGGTATTTGGTAAAGTTAAGGAACTGACAGATGTTTTGTCTCCTCGGTCATTTCTCCACACTGGCCTACTTTTGACATGCTGATGGCTCTTATTACTTCTTGTTAGATGAGAACAGTTACAGTATAGTTACAATATTATTTATATTAACCTATATTTCCTTAATCTGTCCTACCTGATCAAGTGGTTTGTGAACCTGATTGAGCCAATGTACAGAGTTTCCTTGGTCACGTCCAATTGGAAAATATATATTTTTTTCAGGTGAAGGAACACTGCAACTATGAGACCCTGTAAATTTGACTGGGATGGCTGTTGGATTTTCCTTCAAAATTTTCATCTTCCTCTTACGATTTCTTTTTCAAAAATATTCAGCATCCATCACATTTCTTCACCTTTTTCTTGTTTTATTACCAACCTAATACTGTAAAGAATATTAAGAGGCAGGTGCATTACACATATGAATTTTGGAATTATTACTTCATTTATTTTCCAAGTACTGTAGTGTTGAACACACACAGGTGGTGTTGGTAGTGACACGCCTACACTTTTTTAAAAATAAGAAATCACACGTCAAAGCCCTTCAACTTAGAAAACACATACCATCACCGACTAGTGTTGGAATTAAATGAGCAAGGTCTCGTTTTGTAGTCATTTCGTCTTATTAATTCTCCTCCTTTAGTTGATAATCTTTCTTCCCTTTCTCTTCGCTGCAATGTTGTTTCACTTTCTTTTACAGGTACTTTAACGGGCACTGTTCGGTGGATTTGGCATCCTGTGTACCGCCGTCAAGGCCGTGGGCTCGTAACACACGTCTTGCCCGCAGTGCCCACCATTTCTCTGTGGATGTCGGTCACACTAGAATAACCCCTTATAGTACATCCTTCTTTACACACACAGCCAAACTGTGGAATGCTCTGCCTTTTTCTGTGTTTCCATACTCATACAATGTCTCATTTAAAAAAGCTGGTTTTCTGGCATATTTGTGGTGTAGATTAACATAAGCTTTTCTTTTCTATTTTTAATTTATTTTTACTCTTATTTTTTCGCCCCCTAGGCCTTGCTGTGGGTCCATGACCTGTGCCCAGGTAGGCTATTCTCCATAAAAATAAAATATATATATTATATATATATATATATATATATATATATATATATATATATATATATATATATATATATATATATATATATATATATATATTAGTGGGGTATGCTATAACGAATCTAATTGGTTCTAGAACCTTGTTCGTTATAGCATTCGTTTGTTATAGGATTAATCCGTTCCAGGCCCCCAAATACAACCACTTATCAGTGAAAATTTTCTGTGGAAATTGTAAAAAATACGGTACTTTATCTTACCTTAGTGTTGTTCAGCATGCAGGACAGGAGGCAGAGGAGGAGGAGAAAATTATGGAGAAGAGGTGGAAGGAGAGGAGTCATCCTTCCTAGCCCTCTTTGGTGACTCTTACAGGCACTTTGTCTGCAGGATCTTTGGTAACTTTTTTAAAGAAGTAATCCAGGGTTGGCTGCTTCAACCTTGATTTCTGGACCTCCCAAAAGTGGCTCATCACAGTGTCATTAAAAATACTGAGGCCCTTTTCCACAGAAGCAACATCAGGATGATAATCCTCCACAAGCTTAGACAGTTTGTTCCAGCACCAGAACACATCCTTGAGATCTTTGGCTGGGATGATGCGGCTTTCCTCCTTGTCCTCATCCTCCCCTGACTCCTCAGTAGCTAAGCTCCACTTCAGTGTCTCATTTTCTTCAAGTAGCTCCTCAGTGGACAGCTCCTTCCTGTGCTCATCCACCAACTCCTCATCATCATCATCATCCACTTCCAGGCCCATGGAATTGCCCTGACACAATTTCTTGTACAACACCATCTTCCTCTAACTCTTCAAAGCCTTCAAAGTCTCTTTGAAGCACACATTCAGGCCACAATGGCCTCCAAACAGCACAGACACCTCAAAGAAACCTCTTTCCAGGCTGACACAATGAAAAACACAGCGTCTGCTATATTGAAGTGACTCTTCCAAAATTCCTTCAAACTAACATCACTGGAAGAAGTGGATGCAAAATATTTTCTAAACAGTGCCTTTGTGTACAGCTTCTTAAAGTTAGAAATTACCTGTTGATCCATGGGCTGGATGAGAGGTGTTGTGTTGGGTGGCAAGAAGTGCACAGTGATGAAGTTGAACTCATCTGGCAATTCTTCCATCAAATTAGGAGGGTGGGCTGGTGCATTGTCCATCACCAATAGAACTTTTAACGGAAGATTATTAGCCCTGAGGTAATCCTGAACACTGGGTCCAAACACCTGAGTCACCCAATCAGAGAAAAGACTCCTGGTCACCCAAGCCTTTGGGTTTGACCGCCACATAACACCAAGGCGGTTCTTCCTAATGTTTTTAAGAGCTCTAGGGTTTTCTCCATGGTACACAAGGAGTGGTTTTATCTTGCAGTCACCAGAAGCATTAGCACAAAGGAGGGTAAGCCTGTTTTTCATCGGCTTATGGCCAGGGACAGAAGTTTCCTCCCTTGTAATGTATATACGGAGAGGCATTTTTTCCAAAAAAGTAGTTTCGTCAGTTAAATACATGCTGAGAAACAAAGCCTCCATCTTTAATCACATTCAAAAAAATGTCATGGTGTTCCCTAGCAGCATCCTTATCTGCACTAGCAGCTTCACCATGTCACACAACACTATGTAACTGATTTCATTTTCTAAAACCAGTAAACCACCCCTTGGTACCCTTAAACACTGGCACAGCACTATCACTTCCGCTGGGAGCCTTGGCTTGAAGGTCCTCACACAATTGTTTGGCCTTCTCACAAATTATAGCTTCACAAATGCTATCACCTGCCATTTCTTTCACCTTTAACCACACTAAGAGTAAATTTTCCATCTCTTCAATCACATTACACCTTGCTTTGTTAAATCTAGAGATTCCCTTAGCTACTTGCACATTTTTTAACTCCTCTTTATTCTTCAAAGTCGTACATATAGTTGATTTAGCCATCACATATTTATCACTAAGTTTCGCAATGCATGTTCCATTCTCACGTTTATTTATAATTTCTTTCTTAGTTTCAAAGGTTATTAGCTTTCTCACTCGCTTTTAACGATTCATTGTTACAATTGTACACTTGTATAACAAAATAGTTATACAAATAACACAAATTTCCACATCAAAAGACGAAATTTCAACAAGTTCAGTGGTGCACTGACCACACAATGAACCAATATGGCGCCTGACGCTCTTGCTGTGAGCCGCGGTACAACGATATTCATGCGCAGGACGAAATAGTCCCGTATTCATCCACGTTCGTTGTAGGAGTTTCGTTCGTTATTGCATTCTCAATTTTATAGGTAAAACCGTTCGTTATAGGAATATTCGTAGTAGAATCCGTTTGTTATATATATATATATATATATATATATATATATATATATATATATATATATATATATATATATATATATATATATATATATATATATATATATATATATATATATATATATATATATATACTGTATATATAATCAATGACCTCACCAGCCAGGACTCGAACCCTTGACCTAATGCGTGTGACCAGGGAACGCTAACCAACCATGCCACAAGGACACTAAAAGCAATCTTAGACTATGTTATATTTCACACAAAGCCTGTTCATCGAGCTGATGGCGCCGTGAACCTCCCATAAATATCATATATATATCAAATGGAAAATATGGTCACAAATGCAGCAATGAACACAAATATAAGTGGTGCAAAATAAAAAGACCGGTATTATTTTAAAATAATTATTAAATAAAAACTTCTACCAACATTTACGGTGGTTGCTGATTCTCTTCCACCTGTGATGTGGGCAGGTTATTGGCGAGTTAAATTAGTGTTCCATTAGGCCTATCCATGAGATAGCAATGTTTCATATCATTTGAATTCACAAGCTTTAAAAAATAGGCATTTTACTGACTGAAGTCACCAAAACTTGTTAAAAATAAACTTAATCTCATCCATGCCTACATTAATGAAGGAACCACAAGCACAAGCAGGCCCCACAACACAGGTAACAACAGACTTTAGTTTTACAACTAATATATGTCTTACCTGTTCCTTTTTCTCTTTGTTGTCACCAATCCAGCTCTCTACACTCCTCCTACACTTCAGTGAATATCCACACACCACTGGCTAATTATCACTATCTGAGGAACTCACTATTCACGGATATTAAACACAAAATACACCAGAGGAGAGCAGAGTTGCTAGCACACAAGATGCTGGAAACATTAAACTAAGTGGCAGAGGCTCACACTGCATGCTTATTGGCTGGTGTCATCTTGATGTTACGCTGAATGGCCGCTGGTGTGAGGGACACTTCTACCCGGTAGTCACGTCTTATGAAACGTTTCAAATGTTTACACCTCATTGTTTCATATTGCTAGGAAATCATTTAAGTTCTAAGACCCAATTAAGCCTGTCATGAATTCTGACAAAAAAAATATCAGGGATGTCTTTCCTTAAGTGTGATTTAGTTCTTCAGCCTGAAGCCAAAGCCAAGGAACTTTACTCTTGGTTCTCAAGATCCATTTGGAGTTTGAGCTTTAACAGCAATTTAATCTTGATAAAAGCTCTTAACACTTACAATGACTAACTTGACGTCCTTGAAGTCCCAAATAGGGAAATTGATCACCTACGTATCCATCTCTTTTTATGAATTAAACACATTTTCAATAATAACTAAATACCTGTACTACTGTACTGGTATAAGTTTTTAAAAACTGAAATCTACTGAAAGTGATTCTATCTATATCACTGACAAGTAGGATGATAGCAAAGTTCTTCAAGAATATCCACATCATTTACAAGTTCCTCTTTCGATACCATACACAGCAAACTGCCAAGGGTGATTAGCCACTTAAAATTAGTTGGCAGTGTATTCCAAACATCAACCAAATTCCGTTTTGTGGAATTAGATCTCCAAACTCTGTACACTGGCATTGGAATGCGTACAATGTTTCCTGAGCTATGACATTCATTCCTGAGAATCTTTTCTACTTTCTCACTTTCAGAATCTGAGGAATCACTCGAGGCATCTACTGAAGCACAAGTCATATCAATTTTGGTTTGGTCATCATCTTTAGAAACTGAAGAAGCACTTGAGGTGTCTTCTGATGTAGAATTTATATTGGTATTGGAATGTGGGCTACTTTTAGAATCTGAGGAGTTACTAGAGCCATCTGTTGAGCTGCCAAATATATTCTTCTTAGGACCATCACCTTCAGAAGATGTAGAAGGACTAGAGCTATCAGTTGCACTACAAAATATATTATGGTTTGTATCTTCATTATCAAAATTTGGGGATAAAGAACTGTTAATAAAATCTTGCTCCCAATGAGTACTGGTCCTACAGTTGTCTTTATAGTCTGAGAAATGAGGTGACGAATCCAGACTGTCCACCTCATTACTTGAAGCTACCCCTATTTCATCTGATCTTGACTCTCTATTACCATTTCCATTGCAGTCTTTACCATGTTGTGACTTTGGGTAAACCACAGGAATCAAAATAATCTGTGAGCCACATTCTTTTAGATTTTGCTGAATGTGAGTGATTTCCTGAGTCCAGTATAGTTGATGAGAGTTAAAGGATACTTGCAGGAGGTCCTGGCCAATCTGTAATGAAAATAAAAAATACAATGATAATATCAACATATAATTTTATATAATCCTTTAATGACAAGATGAAGATTTATAAAAAATTAGAAAGTTCTAATAAGAAAAAAAAAATGAATATCTAATTACAAAGGGTGATTTTAATACAAAGGTAAGGAAGATGAAAGAAGCATCAGAAGTAATACCACATCAGTTTGGTAATAAAATTAATAAAGGAAAAAAAAATCAGTTTATTTCTGTAAGGGAAATACTAATGTCACTGAGGTCACCCACGAAACTTCAAATAGTATGTCTACTGTACATACAATTCAGAAATGCACCAGATTGTAATTTTCAAGGTGTGGTTGTGTGTATATGGATATCCAGGTGACCTTCCTCCCTCCCTCTCCTCTTCCTAACCCCTCCTCTTTCATTAAGTGCCTATTCATTTATTTTCTTTATTTATCTTTCTTCCTACCATCAATATATTTTCCCTCTTTCACCTTCCTCCTACCATGCTAGTGTGTCAACCAAAGGATTAATGACTTAGTAGTGTTATTAAATCTGCAACTTTATGACATTTTCACCCCATTATCCCTCCCCCTACCCCTTCTATTCCTCATTCCCTACCCACTCTTTTCTTCCTTTTTTCCCCTCAAAACGGGTTCCCTGTTTATTCACTTGATACCCTTTGAATAGTTTTTTACTTTAGCATAATCATCACTACTGTGCTCACCTTCAGTAAGTCTGGTGATCGCTCGGCTTCCTCTTCACTCATAGGTGTTGTGTACTGCTTTACAATGCCTATTAGTGGATCATATGTTGCTCTACCTATGAAGGCTTCATCAAACACCTCCTGTAAGGTCCAACTCTGAAGCTCCACTATACTTGAAAGAGAGGCATATTTTGCCAAACCTAGAAAACAAAGTTTCAAGAAAACACACATTATAGTAGAAAATATAACAACAAAAAATAAAGATAGCAATAAATTTGAATATGAACAAGAAATGCTGCTTGTTAATAGTATATGGTATAACCTGAGCATGTAATGAATTTTTCACAAAAATGACAACCAGCTTCTATGAATCATGAGAACCTCATCATGTCATCTTTGTGAGTAAACTAATGAGCACAAAACATCTCAATAGTCAGTAAAGCACAGTTCCAGGTAAATTTGTTTATAAGGAGACTGAGATCAGTGTAAGTACTGTAGATACAGGTACATATGAGAGGCACAGACAAAGACAATTTTTTAACTCAATTACTCATTCATACACATGGATGAAACAGTAATCTACCATTTATATGAAAGTGATTCATATGAAAATGACGTACAAATACAGTACAGTATAGTATATGATTTTTTTGCCAGTTTCTTCATGTCACTTTAATTTACCTGCCACAACCTAATGTGGTGACCCCATGGTGAGTGCCTCTGTTAACTGATATAATTACAGTATTGCAGGTTCAGTTAACTGGCAATTTAGGTTTTGTATAAGATACACAGTCTACTGTACTTCCCCTGAACCAGAGCAACATGCTGTACTCATCACACTTACTTGTAGACCCTCCATAATTCACTAAAGTTCCTCTCACCCCCCCACCTCACCAGGGAAAAACCCAACACCCATCCCCAAACAATTCCTTACATCCTTAATATACTTTTATGTGGGGTTAAACTGAAAATTGTCACCAATAAACAAATTCATCATGATTGCAAGTTTGGTTAATTTTCAAGTCTGCTCTCGGAAAGTTTTTATTTAACAGAATTCCAGTTAATGAAGGCAATACTGTATATGAACACAGAAGTCCTTGCTTTAAGAAAGAGATGCACCCCACAAAAGTTGTGCATAAAATGAAAATTATCACAGTGAAGTGATTTTCCCATAGACAGAGTATTTTTTTTAATGGACTACGTACTGTATGCATTTCTGGGGGCTGAGGTTTAGATATTGTAACTATAAAAACAAAAACTAACTATAGTTGATATAAAAGACATAACTCAATAAATAAATACAGAACATCACGAAATGTACAGTAATATAATGCATACTCACCACAGATACTACATTAAAACAGAACAAAAAAGTAAATATGGCCAGGGATAATTTTGACTACATTTCCCTCACAAAGGAAAGGACACTGATGCAAAAGCCAACTGTATTTGACAGAAGGGAGGGTTGGTCATGGGTGTAGCAGCCATGTTTACCTCCTCTCTAAACAATGCACAACAAAGACCACTGACCAACCAACCCAAAGACACTCCAGGATGCCTGTGTCAGCATCTCAGCATCATCTGATAACACGAAAATATAACCAAACTATTTCATAACATTTTGGGTTAAATAAAAGCACAGGATAAACATGACTCTAGTACTATACTGTACTTTACACTTATGCCAAATGTAAATTAAATCCCTACCATAATTAATATGGTGACATTGTATAAAGAAGAGCAGGGTCAAACCTTTATAATTTCCCTTTAGTGTCATTGGCAACAAATAAAAAATTTCCTGTATAACCAATATCTATTAGTCTGCCATACTATCATTTTCTCCACAAAATAATAATTCATATGCTGTACATCAGTCATATAGCCACATTATTTACCTGTCATATATATAGTCGGTGAACTTCTACACAAGGTGAGGATCTGAGAAAGCTTTGGAAGAAATGTAGAAGATTTCCTGTAAACTGACACCTCAGACATTGAAGACATGAAGCCAGAAAAAGGATTCACTTGTGTGCAAAACCACTGTAGTTTGTTGATGTATCTGTAAGACAAAAAGTTTTAATAAAGTAATCACTGCCAACAATAATCAGGGCTTTATTACATAACAATTTCATTGGAAACTATAAGTACTGTATACTATATTGGATAGAGAAGAAAAATATAAGACACTTGTCAAAAAAGCAGAAATGACAAATTGAAGAATTTCTAACATATTCCTACTTTTATGGTTACTGGGGCTTGTTCTTTTTAACTATATATATATATATATATATATATATATATATATATATATATATATATATATATATATATATATATATATATATATATATATATATATATATATATATATATATATATATATATATATATATATATATATATATATATATATATATATACACACACACACACATTACAGTAAGTCCTCATTTAACGTTGCCCCCAATAACGTTATTTTGTTGTAACATCGCTATTCTTTAGATACCCATGATTTGGATAATGACCCCCCGATTCAGTATAACATCGTCATGGACTTTGTACGGCACAACACCCTCTCTCATCTTGGCGCACTACGCTCTCACCCGCGGAGCGTCACGGCGTCCCCAAGCGTTGCCAGTCTTTGTTAAACGTGATTAAGTGTTTTTGCTCTTAATACTATACTCTAACCATTCGAAATGGCTTCCAAGCGCCCATCAGGTGCTACTGATGCTAATGTTGTGAAGAAGCAACCTAAGACTATTAGCCTTGCTACGAAAATGGAGGTTTTAAACCGGGAGGAGGAGCCACCCACCGGGTCTCAAAGACTCACCAGCCTCCTCCTCCACTCCACTACCCACCACATACTTGCTCCTCCACCTCTGTCCATCAGTGAGTACAATACAAAATGATTTAGTTTATTTATATATACGCATTATCTTATGGGGCAAAGGGAGGCAGGGAATGGAACTCCTGTATTTTATCTATTTCTTATGGGGAAATTGTTTCCATTAACGTCGCGGTTTTCAGGAAAGGAACAATGACGTTAAGCGAGGACTTACTGTACAGCTCTTACTACTGTCAATGTTTATCTGTTTGGCATAATCCTATAAACACTTGTCCCTCATCTGCCCTGGCTGGTTCACTCACAGAATGCACTTTTTGTTCTATTTAAGTACTCAAACACACCTTACACTGCATGGGTCCCTAGTTCTCATGCATTTACCCTCACTCACACCAACACATCTGGACACATGAAGCCCTAATCTTGTTTTAAACATCACCAAGCTAAATTAAAAGTTACTCTATCTTACATTTTCCAATCATCCCAGGAAAAAATTGGAGAGAAGGAATGTGATGATCCAAGTTGTGCATTAATCCTAGTGGCCACTGCTGAAAGGTGATGTTCCACCAAGTCATTGATGCCACAACATATCTTGAGGCTCACCACCAAGGCCGCCATAGCCAGTGACTCCACTGATGGCAGTTCAAGAGTTACCTTTCTTTTCTCATGTTTCTCTTTTCCTTTAAGTGCAACTAGTTCCTGTGCCATGGTAATAACTTGCTCTGAAATACAATCAGTATGATGAAACATTTTCATGCTGTAACCTGAAGTGGTGTTAGTACAGTACAGTACAGTACAGTACAGTACAGTACAGTACAGTACAGTACAGTACAGTACAGTACAGTACAGTACAATACAGTAATGTATCATGTTCCCACATGTACAAATTTGGGACTTCTATATGGAAGGAATTCTAAAAACAGCATAAATGATAATTCTTCTCCCCCCCCCCCCCAAATATTACCTCAACCATAGAGATATTTTTAGATATTTTAACAAACAAATTTTTGACATAAATTATTATACGGGTGCACCACCAAATTTCCAGGAACTGATGGTCCGGCACCTCATTCAGTCCGGACAAAATTATGAGAGGGCACTTAACTTCCCTCCCTCCCTCCCTCCCCTCCCAGCCAGGGTGAAGGTAGTTTTAGGCTTAAAGTTTTTATCTTATAAAATGTCGCTGACTAGATTTAGCAGACTGTAACTTGCATTGCTGGAATCCCAGTAAGATAGTGATTAATTTGAGTAGAAACATCACATAGTTTGCGCGAGAGATAAAAATTGTAGTCTAGTGCAGTACATTTGAGTACAAAGTGTGTACAGTAATGTTGCTCAAAATTATGGCTTTTTCACATCTAATTTACATTTAATATTTGCTTAATTTAAGTTTCTAGCAGTCCATGGTGCTTTAGAGACACAGGAGGTGTATAATTAGTGGGTCAGAGGTGTATTGTTGAATTATTATTACCTGACCTCAGTTGGTCCGGCAAAACGGATAATCCGGCAAGGCTGTGGAACCAAGGGTGCCGGAAAATCGGTGGTGGAGCCATAACCATCATACACTTGGATGAAAAAAATATATTATTTGATAGTGCTGTAGGAGCCAGAGCCAGGGTCCAGAGTCTCAGAATCATAAACTTTCTTCCTATTAAATTAGGGAAAAAGGAATGCTCCTACAGTCCTCACAGATAAGTTTGGGGCAATTAGACTGCCCATCATATCCCTGGATCATTATCATTGGCTGGAAGCACTACATTCATGCTCACATCTGAAGCTTTATAAACACAAGTCACTTTATGGCATCTCAGTGTAGTACATTCATTTATAATTCATCACTCTTCATTTTGTTGGTGATATTCCTTTTTGTCAAAACCCTTCAGTGTTTTTCCCATCAAACACACATTAAAATTGGTCAAATATGTTCCAGAATTCACACTAGTCTGTTAATACGTACTGTAAATAGCACCCAAGCTGTTGCGCCTATGAGATCCACTTTCACTTTGTCACATGTTGATGAACCACGCCCATATACCTGGTCTTTACAATCACTTAAATAAACACAACTGCCTGAGGACACTTGTGTTTGGAAAGTACATGGACAAGGACAGGCACTGACAGCAGTCATGACTCAAATCCACACTCCTCAAGAGCCCAGCCCTCTTATATCTCAGTCTCTATTAGTGCATTACCTGTATATAATGGAAATATTTTTTTTAAATAATTTTCATCTTGTTACTACACTGTACCTTATTTTATATAATTTTTCAACCTAATAAATGGTGTCTGTCTTATTGAAATTTTCATTATCCCTAAACTTATCCTTTTATTATGAGGACAATTTTCAAATCACAGTATAGTACAGTACTTGTATATTGTATTTTTTCTATTACTGAAGATATTATATTATTTATGATGAATCGTATACAATAAAAGTCTGATCATACAAGGATAATGAATCAATAATAAAAACAGGTCTAAAGATGGGCCATGTAGCATCACCCTGACCCCCCCCCCCACATCCCACCTGGTCACATATGCAGTACCATATTATTTCATGTCCTCCAATAGCTTGCAGTCAACAAGCTTGTCACACTGTCAGTCCCAAGGATATGATAATTTGAGGTATTTAAAAAAAAAAAGGGATATTCTAAGACTTACCAGGAAGCCTAAGCAGTCTAACCAAATGCACAATCACACCCTCTACTGGAGGTAGTGGAATTCCTTGCAATGATAGAAAAATGCTCATCTGAAGTGCAAGTTTTCTTACAGTGCTGGAACTTGGGACTTGAAGTGTCTTTTGCATCAGGTAAATGTTAACTACATAGCCTCTCACTGCTGAGTTCACCAGGTATGAGGCTGACAAGTAGGGAAGGTGGCCTTCTTGACACCATCTGTAACAAAAATATTTTCAACACCATTTATCAAAACATACTACTGAAGGTAACCAATTACTGCAGCATTATTATGGATGTAGCAATATGAGATGATGCAAAAGTGACCGAGATGAGTCTGTTATTCTTTGTGGACAACAGAGCTCTGACAGGCAATACTCACTGATATATAATCACAACCTATCTAGGCTATCTCACAGGACCCCAGGAGAATTCTTCATTTGATTAATAAATGAAAATTAAACATGTCCCTGTTAACTCCCCAGCAGAAATTTAACTTGCAGTTCTGCTAAAATCCAGTAGGTATTGTCCATTTTCAAAATATCAACTGTCATATGGCTATCCCACATCAGAGGCAACATACCTGAGAGAGTCTTGTCCTCATTACATATAACCAAAAAATACATGGCTTTTGATACTGTGCCTGCGAGATCTGATTAAAAGCACCAGTTCTATTGTGGTGGGGGAAGAGACTAGAAGCTTGGTGAATGTGTACTGTACTTGGGATGAGCTGACCATTATAATAACTACGACATTATAAAGCATCACAAAATGTCTCAATTTATCCAGTGAGGATTGTTTTTACCTATGGGAAATTCAAGGCTGTACTATTTTTATATTCCAAAAACATTTTGGTATTTTTGTGAAACTGTATATCTTATGTCACACCACCAATAGTGTTAGCTGCACAATTTTACCATTAAAATAAATCATCAGTAGTGGCATTCATAATATGGTTACTTTGTGTATATACATAAAAAGTAATTGTATGTGTGCGTGTGAGCATGCATGAGAATAAACATGTGGGTGCAAGCAGATAACCCCTAATTTACCAGTATATTAATTATTATTTTGGAAACTATTTCATATTATTGGAAATACAAACATAAAATTTTTCATGACGAAGAGAAAAGGCAAAGAAAGCATCAACTCTTCACATACACAATATTACAGTCTAACCTTAATAAGTCCATCAGCAGGAAGTGTTCCTGTCCCAGCAATACAGCGAGGTACACTAAACTCAGGAGCACCCTCATCATGTAGGGAAAGTTCTGGAAACTTAATGAATCTGTGAATTTGCAAGTCTTGTGACATAATCTTGAGACTCTGTTCTTCAACGGCAGAGGAAACCGCCTCCTCCTCTTAGTTTTCCCTCTGATCCTCCTTTTGATCAGTTGTTTCATTAGTTTATTTTCATTATCTATCTCTTTTGGTATACCTTCTTCATCTGTTTCACTTTTCTTATCATCTATTTTGCTGTCCTCATTATTTCTCTCCCATGCCTCTTTTTCATCCTTAACGTCTTCTTCCAATAACTGAAAATGTTCATCATTAACTTCTTCAGGTCTTTGATGCTGACCTTCAGTAGATCTTTCCCAGTGGGCTCCACCTTCTTCACTATTGATTATCACCTTTTCATCTTTCATTAACATCTTGTGATATCTACTTAGCCATGCTGACCAAAGTGGCTCCTCATAGGTTGTATCCAGCGAGTCCCCGCTGGAAATTATTTTTCTCTTGATAACCCTGGTCTTAAGCATCTTCTGGGCATGTTTCCTCGAATCCCTGAAAGCAATATTGTCAGGATGTCAATGAAGATGATGATCATTACATAACAAAATATCATAAATTTAGGGGTAAATTTCTGACAGGAAATAATCATAGACTTACTAGGGCTGTTCCAGATAATTGGCTTCTGTATCATGGGCAGGCTAATGGCTATGAATAAGCATTTACAACACTGTAATATAACACATCTTATCTGCCCATTGCCAGCTAGTCTTTTCTTAAAGGATATGAACACCTGCACAAGCAAGTTTTTTCATGTACACCCTGTATCTATAATGTTTAAAGAAGTTATTTGCTCACAGCTTGGAGTATGGATGTGTTTTGGACCAGGCTCACTGAACTTGAAATGTATCATCTACCATATTCTTTGCCTAATAAGACACCATTTTTCCTAAGATTTCTCCAAAACCCACCCTGCATCTTACATGGTGAAGATTAACCATACAGGGATGTGAATACCAACTAAAACCAATATACACTAATATTTAGGGACAGTAGCCCAGTTTAACATGCCACCAAACAAAATACATCGATAGAAGAAAACTTATTTCTTCCCTCAAGAATAAAGCAAACAGGGTAGAGGAATAGCACTTTTCCTATTCAGTTTCTTCAAGAGATAAAGTAATAGATGATGTCAGTGCTGGTGCCTTCACCATCACCTTAGCAAACATGAGCACCAAGATGTGTTTTTGTAGTCAGATCACATCACAGACATTAATAATAGCATTACTCCATTTCATGTTTTTATAAAATATAAAAGCAGCAACTTTACCAATTTCTACAGATGATGATAAATAATGCTCTTACATGAATAATAATAATACTGTACCCCGAAAAAAAGGATCATTACTAATAGTGGTAGGATTTGCAATTTTCATAATTAAACAACTAGTGTATATAGTGATATCCCTGTTAGCCAGAACAAATGGTGCATCGCTCTTCTAAGAATGAGATATTTACAGGTAATGAGACGACTCTCAAACCCCCAAAAATTCCACTGCCCAAGAATTTTTCCGGGCACTGGGAAAATTTTCTGAAAGTTTAAACTACGCATCTTACACAGACAGATACTATCGCAAATCCCCAGAATGTCTCTGGGTGCTGAGAAAGTTTTCCAAGAGACCGCGGGAACGAGCAAAAGTATTTATGGCTAGCAAAAAAATTAATAAACTTTTATTGAGACCATCTGCTCTAATTGGGCTAGAGAGATGAATTTTTTATCATAAGATCCTGAATAAGTTCTTTACAAGGCTCTCCCTCACTCTCTTGTGCCAGCTCCCACACATATAATATAAATGTTTAATTTCTTTATGTTTTTGACCTTATGATATGCAGTAGGCCCTCCAAATTCTCAGGGGTTAGGTTCTCACCAAATCCGCGAATAACATTTGCTGACCGGGGGGGTGGTGTTACATTTTTACTTGTGTACAAAGAAATGTATATTCCCTTTATGTGTTTGTCCTTAGGACAATTATTTCTTTTACTTGTTGGTATATATGTGTCACACACAAAATGCATACAAATAAATAATACCCCCTGTAATGGGAAAATACTCACAAAGATTCAGATACATATAAATTTGATTCTGATTATGTGCGAGAGGATTTTTCCAATTATTATTTATTTGGATGTGTTTTGTGTGTGTGTGTGTGTGTGTGTCTACACACAAACACACATATACCGGTGTGTCTACACACACACACATTTACAATTCTGCACAGGAAAAGGAAATTATGATCTCTAGAACGAATGGCTCCTTGTCCTGGCCGCAAAAATGCCGGCAACTTTAAAACTTCTCACAGACATTTGGGGGCCCCCTGTATATATATCTTTTGGGGCACATTCTGTATGAATGCAGCACACAGCTTGGGGGGCTAAGATACCAACACTGCACCCCCCTCCCCTCCCACAAAACAAATAAGGTGCAGCATTTCAAGAGAGTCTGCAAGCATGTGACAGTGGAGAGGTCCAGCATGGGTGTAATGTATGTACAGTATTTTGTGGATATGTAGTATCATTAAAAGTACTGTGCCTATCTTCAGATGTAAGTACATTGAATACAGTCCTTTAAAAAAAAATGGGCACTGACTGCATAAATATAAGTGACATCCTTTGATGTGTGCAAATGTAAGTGAAGTTTTCACATAAAAATGCAAACTACATTCAGTACTATACTGTTTACTATACAAACCTGATATATCCTGTGATTCTTTTCTTGCCATATGGTGTGTACTCTTCATCAGACCCACTAGAACATGAAATGTGGTCACCTGAGTCATCTGATGATATAAGCGTATACTTCTTCTGTAAAGAGATTGTTGACAATTGTGAAAAACTAGGACTCATCATGAAATCTCAATAGTATTTTAGACATAGTGGATGTTAACTAGGGGAGTGGAACATTCTCAAGCTCCTTCCAATCATTCAGCCTAGGGTGATATTTTAACTCAAATGGATACAGTACAGTATATTAAAGTTATATTACTAATCCTCAACTTCCTTCTGGTAAAAGTCATCAGTGGTCTGGCTAACATACAGAGGACCATCAATAAACAGCAAGAGTACCCAAAATATTATATAGTATCGTACAGTGTGATGAACAAAAAAATATCATGAAGTAACCAAGAATTCAATGACATATAAACAGTGCTATACTAACTGTACAATACTTCTACACATATTTTCCCCATATAAAGGTAAGCAATTTAAAGACACCAAGACAGGGACAGATATATGAACAAAGAACATCCAAGAAGGTAAATTGATAAGAGAACATTTAACCTTGAAGTGCAGCTATCATTTCTCTCCCAATATTTTTATGGGATGGATTTGGAGGCAACAAATTTCAAGCAAAGGGGAAATGGTAAAGGGTATAAAACAACACGAAAAAGTTGAAGGTACATTAATTCTTAAGAAGTTTTCCTTACATATCTCCTGCCTCCAACTCTTGAGGATTTGCGACTGTTTACAACTGCAGTGTCAAAGTCTGGTTTTTTATGGTTGAGGTTCTGGGTACTTGAAATCACTGATGACATTGACAGTGAGCCAGATACCTTTGAATGAGACAATTTTGTCAGCTTCCCCTGTTAAAAGACAATAAGAATCATTAACATGCAGAAACTGGAACAATACAGTAAACTGTATGTAGTATTAACAAACCTGACAAAATTATGGCTTACATAATAGCAGGGAACGATTATGCCTTGCAGCTAAAATTGATTGTGTGTGATATGTTGTTAACCTCTTGTGTATGGTCGCGTCCGACCGGAATAAAATTGTGTGGTGTTCGATAAATCAAATATTAAAAGTGGCATCCCAGTAGTGAGAGGGTTTAAAGGGTGAAGGATGAGTGTGGAAGGAAGACATACAAGAACTGCAGTGGAGTAGATAACAGACTGCAGGATGTTGCTGACTTTATAGGGTTAACTAATCTTTAAAAACAGTTCTAAGAATCTCCCTTTCAGGGCAACAGGTGCAGCAGGTGACGATGACTGGCCATAAATCCTTCATCAGCATTAAGGAACCATCTTACACACACACACACACACTTCCTTCAGCCTTCATAGGGTAAGGATGTGTGTACCGGGTAGTCGGCGCTGCCCACTAACACAGCCACTGTCTCTTGACCAGAGAGACAGCTGCCAGCCTGGTCTGTTGGGCCTTCTCCTTTCCCATCCCCTCCTTCCAATCTGGATTTATGAACATCCTCACACCAACAGTACAGTGCAAAGATTGATGATCAACCCACAAGTGATATACAAAAGTAACAATTTCAACTCGAAAGAAACAAACAAATGTTAGTGACAATTGTGCTTAGCGGTCAGTGTTGACGTGACACACCCAGCCAGCGGTACAGTCGCCACCACCAACACTAGATGAGAACCCAAGAAACACTTCAAACTACACCAAGAGAGTAGTGAGGACTCCCTACTCCACGCAAGTGAGGAACTATGAATTCCTAACTACGTCACATGAGGAACAAGAACCATCTCCAACACCCTGTGTGAGCTGGAGGACCTACCCGGACCACGTGGTGCATCGGCTTGGCGCCGACATCAGGTCATAAGAATGTTTACAGACCAGCTCTCACAGTGCCAAATCTACAGTTTATCTATATGTTGACTCTATGTTTCTTATGTTTTCATATTGAAAGCTTTTGTCAATCAAGTGACCCACTCCACGATTTCACCATATGTAACTTATCATATCTGTTCATTGTATATTTTCAGCCTTCGGGCTGCCATGATATCTTAATAAAGCGTTAATTATTATTATTACATGCACACTTTTACAATTTTCATCCAGAAGATCACAGATTTTCGTATTTCTTTAGATTAGTCATTTTCAGCCTGGAAGTATTCATCCTTGAAAAACCTGAGTGTTCACATTTCTTTAATTTTTCAAGTACTATCCTGGAAGAGTTTAATTTTGAACAAGATGTTGATCATACAACCAATTCTCATGATTTTTTAATTCCTGACCCGCTACTCTATTGGAAGATGAGAAGATATTTATTATTATTTCATCACTATCGGCTTACCAGCGGTTCATGCAGTTTGTCCGGTCTATAAAACTTTGTTATAACCTTGACTGTCCAGTGCTGGTATAAGAGGAAACTGGAGTACCCAGACAAAACCTATGATGTTTGGTTAAGTCACAGTGAATGAAACCCTCCTTACAGAAATCCCAGGCTGTGGATTGAACAGAGGTGGGAGGTATGCATGTTACCACTGTACCACCAACACCTATAATAGATAAGAACAGTGTATCATAGCTATCTGTCATAGTCAGACTTTTATGCGGGGTGGATCACAGGACAGAGCTCTCAATGGTAGGGAGTAAAATAGTAAAGGAGAACCAAACAAGATTAAGTCGGAAATACTCTTTTCTTGGGAAAGGAGGAAACAATATCTCAAGTTAGAGAGATAAAATAATCTCTTAGAATATTCACATATATCCATCTCCCAGGATAGTGGAAAATACAAATCTAAAGAGTTTGTGGGAACAATGGATCTCTTGGGAGAGAGGGAAAATAGAGTAGTGTTGCACTTATTTCTTGAGTCAAGGAAAACACCTAACTCTCAGGATAGAGCAAAAAACTAAATCTCTCTTAAGTAAGGCCATTTTTACTGATCTCTGAGGAGGAAGGATATCTTAACTTATCTCTATGAAGGTAGACTGAGTAATCAACTTTTATTACCATATAAAATTTGAGGATTCAATGTTCCTAATACAGTGGCCCCTCGATTAACGAATGGTTCAATTAACAAAATTTTGGTTAACAAATTAGCTCCCATAAGGATTTTAAGTTCCATTAACGAACAAAACTTCGATTAACATCGGCCTTACAAGAAACACACTTTGTTGTGAGCATCAGCTGATCGACTAGTCCGCCAATACAGTAATTGGTTCTATGTTTACAGTCGTTTCCAGTGGGGTAAATATCAAGAAAGTTGTGCTCTTGAGTATTTCTGCATTTTTTATATTAAAATTTTTGGTCATTCTGAAATTTAGTTAACATATTGATAATATATACAGTACAGGGAACAGTTTTTGTGTGCCCTTCAGCTGATCGAATCGCCCAACAACGCTTCTCAGTTTAACTTTGTTTACAGTGGAGTGAACATCAAGTTTGTTGGTCTCTTGAATATTTTTGCATTTTTACAATAAAATTATTGGTCATTCTGAAATTAAGTTAAAATATTGATAATATACAGTGCAGAAATTATTATGAAACATGAAGAAGGCATTAGTACCAATGCAATCTGTAAAGAATATGGCATGTCATCATCAACTGCCTCTACAATCAGCTGTTTGATATGTAAACAAAGCTGCCGGGAATATGACATACACACCTCAAAGTAAGTTAAAATACAGTATTCTATTGTTTTTTTTATTTATTATTGTACAGTATACTGTACAGTACAGTAGTGTATTTAGATTAGATTTAATGTTTTGTTAATTCTATTACCATTATACAGTACTTTGTATGTATACTTTTTCTGTGAGTTGGAACCAATTACCCAATATCCCACTGAAAAAATAGATTCAGGTAACAAAATTTTCGGTTAACAACCAACTCTGTGGAACCAATTGTGTTCGTTAATTGAGGGACCACTGTACTGTATTCTGACAATAATGGTGACCAAGAATTGATCAATGGTTGCCTTAACTCATGCTTGAGGGAAAAAAATGTAACAGGCAAGTCAGCAATAAATACACTATGGCAATACTGTACCTTCTTTACACTATCATTGTCGAAAGAAGATAACAACCCCTTTTTGTCACTGCAGTTAGATGTAGCAGATGTTAATGGAGGAACCTTCTCTTTCTCTTGTGAAGAAAAACTAGAAAAGAATGGTGTAGAACATATATTTAATATAAAATAAATAAAGGTACACATAGTTTCCTTCTACATACAGTATTGTATACATATACAGTAGAGGTACTATATAATGAAATACCGCATATGAAAATTGCACACAAATATCTTGAGCAGATATGACTCAGGGTTTAATCAATACAACAAAGTGCAGTTATACAGTATACACAACTATAGTTCATTTTGTATTGATATCCAAAATAAGCACCGCCTAACAATATGTCTTGCCATTTTATGATTGGATGATGTGACCGTATGCCCAGTGAAAGCAATTTTACTCAATCTAGAGCACTTTGTTATCTATGTACAGGTATTAGTTTTCTAATTGTGAGTTTTTCAAAAATGATATCATTAATGTATCATTATCATGCCAGATAATGTAGCTAACAAACAAATGAATAAAAATGAACTTTTATTTCAGAGGAGGAAGACGGTAATCAATTAAATAAAAATCAGGACTGAAGCCGAAGTGAGGGATTTGCGTGAAAAGGGCATGCAGTGGTGCTTACATTTGGGATCTTCTGGGCCGAGATTCACTAATGGCTTATGAAGATTGTAAGAGCTTAATGATGATGACATAATGACAAGATGACAGATATTTCGAGTATATTGAAATTACAATTATATAAATTGGGTTGGTACACTGTATTACTTAAAGTTCGTCATCAATAATAAAGCATAGGTTTCTACCAATTTCACTTGATTTATCCAAATTAGCAGTTAAGATTTGTTTTAAAAATAATAAAAGAAAAACACTGATTGATATCCTTTACATTCAGCAGAAACGTCGTCTTGGGAGAGAGGAACTGCCAAATGCTACTACAAGAGAAATTTTCAAGATCTTTAAATTATTATGACAAAACATTCACTAATAAGTTTTTTGTTCATAATATATATTGTAAAATCATATTAAAAAAATAATTTTTCCCTTTCGTATGATACACTGGCAGTGCTTATTTTGGGTATCAATAAAAAATTAACTATAGAATATGAAGAATAAACATACTGCATACTAAATCAACACAAATGATGAATAAAAGGCGATTCACACTACCCATCACGCCTCTGTTACGTTGTGGATCATCAACGTCCCATAAAAGTTTCTTCCGTGTAATTAAATGGTGCTGTTGACAATATCCACAACATCACGTAACAGTACGTCTCGGTCCCGTCTCGATTTCTCTGGAAGAATAGTTTGAGGTGACGGAATGCTCCCGAGTCGAACTGTTTCCTGTACACTACTGATAGTGTGAACAGCGTCCCGCACGTGGTCAATCACACTCCAGTCGCAGTTGAGAGCAGAAGGAAGGCTGTGACTCTCAACACACTCAGTATATTCAGAGTACAGTACAGTATTATTGGCAGCATGGATGAAAAGTTAACTGAACTGGTTCATTGGTATGAAAAACTATATGACATGTAAAATAACCTACTTAAGGTGAAAATATGGAAAACAATAGGAGATGAACTGAACAAACCAGGTGAGATATCTAGCTTTTATTAATTCCATTCAACATTGTTTAGTTCAGGTAATTACACCTTTCACTCATGGTTTTTATTCATTGTACATACTAGACATATCCCACAGTTACAAGGTGGCTCACAAAAGGGGAAAAGTAGGTTAGTCACTGCCAAGATACAGATCCAGAATGGTTGTTAAAGAAGTTTTTTAATTTCTCTCTCACAATGAATGCACTCTGATGGGCATTTCCTCCTTGTCAGGCCATAGCAATGAAATTGTTTGCCATGCTTGTAGGCTTAATGCTTGCACTGTCTATGACATTTTGGTCCATTATGTAATTGTACAAAATGCAAGTTGCAAAAAAATACTGTTTGCATTGTTTGCAGGGTCTGGTGGTATATTTGAAATTTTTGACTCAACATACAGGTGTTCTCTACAAGTCACCTTGCAAGTGATAAGTCTGTAATTGAAAACACTCTTCTCAGCATCTCCATTAAAATTTGTGATCCTGGATAAGGTCTCATTAGATGAGTATTTAGTGGATGATTACTTTTGACCACAATTACACATTGAAAACATATTTATGTTTGCAAGAGTAATTATAAACAGAATATTTTATGTGGCAGCCATGGCATGATAAAAGTTTGTTCGTTGGAATAATAAGGAATAATCTTAAGAACGAACTGAATAAGGTGTAGAAACTGAATATAAAACGAACAAATACAAAATTTCTGAAATTAGTTGAATGATGTCAAAATATTACGAACTCAGTTAATTCGGATTTTTAAGTAATTCGAGTGATCCAGAGCTATTTTTGGGGGCAAATTAATGAGGGTATAGTGTAAGCTGTGGGTGCATCCACATGGGCGTACATTTTGTCACCAACATGTTATTGCCAAGAATATATGAGGCACGAGGTTCTGACTAGTAGGGTGTGGCCCATGCGCTAGACCGGCGTTTCTTTTTGTTGGCCATACAGTGACGACGAAATGTACACTCATGGGGACGTAGCCTAAGACATCATTAAAAGGTGGTGGAAGGGTGGAGAAGAAAAAGGCTTGAGGGGAGGACTGGACAGAGAGTTGTCTTAGTTATTCAGCAGGTCTAGTATTTATAGCTAGCTACAAATTATTTAATAACAAACCTGGCAAACTGTGTCACATCTACTTCATCATTACATGCTTGAGCCTTCAGCAGTTGTATCTCTTCTTCACTCTTGCGAGAGTGACAATGTTTATATGAAGACATTACTTTCCAGTTCTTGACTGTCAGGCGTCCAAGGCATTCTTTCGTATTTTCGCACAGCCAGTATTCATATCCATTTGTTTTAAGTAAACAGTAGGTATACCCATCGTAAAGAAGTCTAAGTTTTCCTCTTCGAGTTCTTGTAAAAACTGCCTCATGCAAATTTTTCTCCCCTGGATCCTGCTGTGGTGATAGTGGCCTGTAAAATACAAAATATTTATCCAGTCCCTTATAGGATATACTGTAGGAGTTATCCACCCCCATAAAATAATTATGGCAAGTCTTACCTATCTTTAAATAAAAAATACCCCAAAAACCTTATACAGTAAACCCTCAAAGATCCGGACCCGGGAAATCCGGATTTCGGAAGATCCGGACAAAAAATTTGGGGGTTCTGAGCTAAGAAGCCTCCTAGAAGTTTCCCTAAGAAACATTCCCAAACCAGACAAAATAACATTTTAGGCCCGTGGGTGCTGCTTGATCCATCAGTTGCTTGGTCCCAGGTGCCCGAGGAGGTGGGAAACATAAACAGAGTTGACAATTGTTGTTTGTGGGAATATTATTTCATTCACTCTAGTAATGATACAATGTTTCTTATTATGTTATCATAGGTAAATGCATGGTTTACATACGATAATTTGTTTATCACTACATTAGTATTCTGCATATTTGGTGTTTCTTATATCATTTATTATTCGCCGGAAAATCCGGACAATCGGCTTTACCGTATAGGTGGTCCCCACCTTTTAGTCTGGATCTTCAAGGGTTCACTGTACAACCAATAAGCTTTCATGTACAGTAGTCCCTCGCCAAATGCATATTATCCACCTGTGAATTTTGGGTATCCACGGTTTTTACTCTGTATACCATTTCACAAACCGCAGCATTGAATTTTGAGTATCCACTGTTTAACGCAGGTCATTTTCCCTCCGTGTTGCAATGTATTCATCCGAACAGCGTCCAGCCTCCCACCACTGATTGCGCCATGCTCTCTCAGTGTTGTGATCTCATACCGTGCAGACGTACTTTACTGCTCTGTACACTGGATATTTATTCCCTATTTTCTACCAAAATAACATTGATTTTGCCTTTAACTATGGCCCCTAAGTGTGCATTGAGTGGTAGTGATAAAGGTGAGAAGAAAGTGAAGAGGACCTGAAATGTAATGATTCTAGAAAAGAAAGTTGAAGAGCTTGATAGACTGGCACGTGCAGAGAGCGTAGCGCCAGTAGGACGTTCATTAGGGATAAACAAATCCCCGATTTGCACGGTTAAGAAAAGTGAGGCTACGATAAGGGGAAGTGTTGCTGGTGGCACACGGAAAAGTGCACTGAACATATGGATAGAAGACCAGGTACAGAAAAATGTGCCGTTAGGGTATGAGGTGATATGTGTGAAGGCCAGGTGGATTTACAGCGACCTTGTTGAAAGTGTGAGTGAGGGAATAGTTGCGGATGTAAAATTTCAAGCCAGTAAAGGCTGGTTTAAAAAGTTTAACCCCTAAAGGTCTGACATCATCCCAGGATGACCAGTGTAATAGGGATCTGATGTAGTCAATTTTGCATTTCATTTTTTTTTTCCACTTGAGTAGCATGACTATTATTGTGGTAATAGCTCATCCCTGCTCACCCACACTTCTCCTTGACCGCACCTTAAGCAAATAATCAGTATAACAGTTGTCACCATGCAGGAAGATCACGCGTCTACCTCTCTGGATTACCCACTTGGAACTCCAGCTCTCGTGCCTTGCTACTCCAAGCCACAGAATGGTGAGAATGTTCTGTATATAGTGTACAGCTCCTCCCCGACTTATGACTTAATGATTTAATTTTTTAGCCTACTATTCAGTTTCTGAAGGGAGACTTCCCAAGATTCATCAGACATTTAAGGGTTAAGAAAAGATACAGCCTCCACAATGTGAACCTCACTGGGGTCTCAGCATCAGCTAATCACCAGGCTGCTGCACTGTATCCTGAAGAATTTGTGAAATTGATTCAGGAGAAGGATTACCTGCCCAAGCAGGTACAGTATTCAACACAGACGAGACTGGCCATTTTTGGATAAGATTGCCATAAAGAACATTCATTTCCAGAGGTGAGAGGTCTGCTCCGGGATTTGAGGCAGAGGACAGGCTGACCCTTCTCCTCTAGGTGTCCTGATGAGCAAGAATAAGAATCACCTCCCTGTCTTTTGGTGGTCTAACCATAAGGTCTAGTTTACTGCTAACATCTTCATGGACTGGTTCAACAACTATTTCGTGTATGAGGTACATGGGGTTCAAGGTGTTGCTCATCAGTAACAATGCACCCGGTCTCCCTAAAGCACTCTAGATTGCCCATCCCAATATAGAAGTGGTATTTCTCACTCCAAACACCACTTCACTTGTTCAGCCTATGGCCCATGGTGTAATAGTCACCTATAAAAGTTACTACACTCGCAGCACCTTCAGCCGTATCTTTGATGCCTTGGAGGAGGACGACACCTTAATTGTTTCGGACTGCTGGAAATTTTTTTAACATTACTGACTGCATAAACATAATAAAACAATAAGTGGATAAAGTGAAGCAGTCAACACTGAATGTGTGCTGCGGGAAAATCTGGCCAGAAGGGGGTGCAAAACTTCCAAGGTTACCCTTCAGTCGATGCTGAAGTGTAGCGCATCGTGAGGATTCCACAATCTTTGTGGGGGAGTTGACGGGTTTGAGATCCAAGCATCAGGCGCATTTAAAAAAAAAATTCCAGGAATGGGGGATTTCTCTAGGTTTGAGAGTCATCTCGTTACTTGGAAGTGCTCTTCAACAATCGTTCCGGCTAATGGAGATATTACTTGTACTCCTATGTAAAATTACATATCAAATGTTTTGACATTCAGCACATAAAATTATTGTCAGTACAAATATATAGAATATGTACCTTGTATCTGGTTTCTTTTCAGATTCACACTTTTTGTCATCAGTGACACAAGTGTTTTCTGATAAAAAGGTCACTCCCAACTTGTGGAGATACATCACCCATAACTGGAACACAATGGTTGGAAGGTGATCTGAAGCTCCAAGACTACGAAGTACCTTCATCCATTCATGGAGGACAACGTTATAAGCATCAAACATGATCTGTTCTTCTTTCTTTACCTGGAAATACAAATTTTGTTAAAACAAAGAGACATTAAGATTTAGACTGTATAAAATACAGCACAGTATTAATTAATTATGAGGAGCCAAACTACTTTATTATTCAAGCATAGCAAAGGCATCATATTTTTTTAACACCATAAAATTAGTACCATAATGCAAGTAAAATTAACTTATTTTGTAGGTTACCATAATTATGCAAGTAAAGCTACAATGCTTGTAGGAATTAGAAGCCATTTGCAAGTACGTGTGCATACAGTACTGAAGTAAATATGAAAGACTGACCCTTTAAATCTCATGTTATACCTTAGGCAATGTATCCATTAAGTTCACGAGTGCATAACCCAGCCTAACCTTTTTATACTGAAGGTTGGCTTTTATTGTACAGTACAGTACAGTACAATCTACATTATGTCTATTTGCACATCACAATAATTTGTAAATTAAAACATACTGTATTCTTTTGTGATTTTTGGAGACCAAAGTCTTGATGGTGTCTTCAATTGATAAGCTACACAATTTATTGAGGTGTAATTTTACATTTTTGGTGGACGTGAAAGTATGCTTGTACCGAGCGGGTTGAGAACAACAGAGCAGACAACAACAGCAGATTTTTTGCATGAATATTTACGGTAAATAATTAATTTCTTCACGTACAAATCATTTTAGTGACACATGATCAGTTTTTCACCGCGTTTTACCCCCTCAATTTCCCTCACCGGTTAATATTAGTCTTTCACCCATTCCTCTTCCAGTGTTTCTGACTACCCTAAATATGCTACTTTTTTTAAATTCAAATTTATATTTAAGAGTAACATTTCTAGTGCAAATATTTTTTTTTTTTTAATATAGTTACCCTCAAACATTGACCTATTTTCAGCTGTGCAAAAGTGATTTAGCAGTTAGGTTAGATAAGGTTAGAAAGTAGGTAGTGGATATTTTGCTGTGACCAGCTAAGTTTCTACTAATGCAATTTTACTGTGAGTGCACTTTAATTGACTAAGACCCCCCCAGCCAGGAAGTTGGATAAGGTTAGGCAAGTTTCTTTGGTTGGTTAGGTCAGGTTCTATTAGGTTCTACTACAGTATATGTCACCTTTTATAATAAGTTCCATGCACAACAGAAATATGGTTCGGTGTGTTTACAGCTACACAACGATTGACTTACAGTGAAATAAATGCCAAATGACACCAGTCACGGTCAAGTATAGTTCTCGTGTTGTTTACCTGGAATGAACAATTAGTCAATCAGAGCGCACTCACGGTAAAATGGCGTTAAAAGGAACTTACCAGTCAAGGGAAAATATCCACTACCTAGAAAATATTATAGGTAAGTTTACCTTTGGTCCAGGTTAGTGATGATTCAGTCATGGTTAGTTGCAATTCAGTCAGAAATGGTACGTTAGTTTAGGTTTTGTGACCTTCTTTTGATAAGATGTATTTTTTCTGGCATACTTTCGTTTATTTTAGTCATAACCTTCATTTCTTGTAAAAATGGCCGTTTTTGGCCCTTTGTTGATTTTCGAGAAAAATAAATAAAAAAAGGCTATTTGCACAAGAAATGAAGGTCACATTTACTAAAATACACCAATATATACCCCAAAAAACATTTTTCATATCAAAAGAGAGGAATGGGCGAAAAATGAATAATTACCCCCTCATCCTTCATGTATAATGATTAAATCTTAACATAGCAAAGCAACAATCCACATTAGCTCCGGACCTCCTTGCCCACTACAGGTGATTTATTATGTTTCTAGATATACAGGAAAAAAAAGGTTAATATATAAAGTCATCTCGCTTTCTAAACTACTTACTGTATAATCACCAAAACAACAATAAAGTGAAAAATAAAAAGGAATTCCATTAACGATTTCTGGTGGCAGTGGTGTCCTCATAATTTACCAGTTCTGAACACTATCATATTCGTTTTTATTACTCGCTATCACCAAAAACACGTGGAAAAAATGTACTTAATCGAACAACGCATTCTGGTGTTAGTCATCTGTTGCATTTAATACTGTACAGTAGTCTACAGTTGAGCAGCACCTAAGAGTTTACCATAACCTAGTGTGCAAGCGGCAGTTTACAAATAAAAGGCGCCTGTTAAACCTTAATATTTGTTTTATCTAACGTTACTTACACTCATGGTGGCGAGAGAAGTGAAAATCCTGATGTGTAATAAAGAAATAATGGTTAACTCGTGTTCTGCAGACGAAGGTGCCGCCACACTGTTGTACCTTGATCTTCTTCACCACTGATCGGTCACGTCTCTGTTACTCACTTTTGATGTTTTCTTAACTTATATTTATCTACCACCTAAGTCCCTTATTTATGTTATTTCATGTACTGTATAACATGGTATTGCCTCTTCTTTTATTTAAGGAACATCATTGTTCGTGAATAGATAAATCTATAAGCAGACAACCATGTATATGTATGCAATGGCTACGTGACCGATCGCCCAAGCCGATCAGTGGTGAGAGAATAAAGAATAAAAATGTATATGGCTTATGACAGGAGTATACGCTAAAGACAAGCTCGTTCTCTAGACACCAACACATTTTCTATGATGACCTTAAATATTTATGGTAATATTAAATCGAGACATGGCGTTTATTTTTAAAAATATAATTTTTTTAACATTTCCACAAACTACAAGTGTCCACTATAATATAACAACGAAAATCCGGCGGTTTTTATAATTGTTTTCAATCAATTTCGCTTGCCGGTTAGTCCAATATATTTACCTCCGAATTGGTTGAAAATTTTTATACACACGAATATGATATTGGACACATATGAAAATGACAATGCATGAAACCTGACCTAACATACCCAACCTATGGGTTTGTTAGGTCAGGTTCTATAAGGTTCAATGCTTTATCGTAATAATGCATGTGTTAAACAACTTACCTTAATATTGAGGTTGATACACATCAGCAATAGCGAGGAGGAATACGTGGAAGAGTTCACCATCATTTAGAAAACGTCTCTTAAAAAAGGGATTCGAAATAACAAAAATGGCGCCGGGGGAAGAAATGTGAAGCTGGATAGAATAAACAAAAATCCTAAAAAAAATACTTAAAATTATATAAGTTGTCGTTGCTTATAATATACCTAAAACCATCAAAACAAGAAGTATAGCAAACTTCAAGAAAATCAACAAGTAACTTTTGGTGTTCACCCTCTTTTACACCTTCACTTTATTTTTTAAATAAGGAATCGATTTTCTTCTATGGCATTTCCTGGGCAAATGCATATCTTTTATCAGGTTATGTTATGTTAGGTTTGTTTTGGTTTGGTTAGTAGGTACAGTCACCCAAAAAAGTCCTGTTGCGAACCACGAGATTCAGACTCGTGAACCCAAAGCATTAGACACTGATACATTATTGTCCATAAATGCTTCGGATTCAAGAGTCTGAATCTCGGGGCTCATGGTTCGCGACAGGACTTTTTTGGGTGACTTTGTGGGGTACGGGATATTTGTTCACACTCAGGATGGGACGGAGAAAGGAAACTCACAATGTGCTCTCTGTATACATGTTGTATTGGATGTACAATGCAGCTTGGTGCTGGGAAGGCAGCATGGTTACAAGCATTGAGTAAGGAGAGCTGGTTGGTGAGGGTGCTCAGAGGAGGACCAGCTTGTGGGTCGCCATGCTCGCCGGCGGGAGCGAGGGCCGCCAGGCAGGAGCGGAGGAGATGGTGTTACTTGAAGACTGGCTGTAGGTAGAAAGAGAGGTAGGTCACCACGAGGTCAGGTCTTATATAGCGGAGGTAGGCGTGGCTTAATAGTTGACCTCCGTCATGTAAGGCGGCGCTGGTTGACCTAGACCACGAAGCATACACTGGGGAATTCGCGGAGTCGGCTACTTAGCGACAAACAGCGTTTGTAGGGGAAGAATTCACTACAATACTCCCCCCTTCCCTCCAGGCGGTGTAGGAGACTTGTTCTCTGCAGGGTTGCATCCCACATGTGAGGCAGAACGGGCGGTGCAGGAGACTTGTTGTCGGCTGGGTTGTATGCCACATGTGAGACATAACGGCGAGGGAGTGGATGAGCCGGCCGCTAGGGGAGACAAATTTGTCTAGAAACACGAGATCTGTGAGAGGAGAGAGGGAGAAGGAGGGTTGTGGAGGCAATGAATGTTGTGCTTCCCTTGCGGCAGGTACAGAGTCCTCAGATGCGCCTGCTGGGGTGTGTAGGTCTGGGTCAGGAGCAGGGGCTGCGTCAGGAAGAGGGTCTATGACAGCAGCAGGGTGCATGACAGCAGCAGGGTGCAGGACAGTAGCAGGGAGTACCTGAGGGAAAAAAAATGTGCGTGGGGCCGCACTCAGGCGCATGGGCCGCGTCGGGAGCAGAGGCTGCCAGGCAGGAGCGGAGGAGGGTCTGCGTCAGGAGGGTCCGCGTCAGGAGGAGGGTCCAGGACAGTGACAGGGGGTACTGCTGGGCCAGGGGCGGCGTCTGAGGCAGGACGGGTGTGCTGGGGTCGGTAGGACGTGATGCTTGGGGCAGGAAGAGCTGGTGTCTGCTTAGAGAAGCAGTGCTGCTCTAGGGTGCCTAACCTGCGGTGTAGAGACAGTAGCTGTAGAGCCGATGAGAGCTGCCTCTGTGTGGATAAGCCAGTCTTCCATGTTGCTTGAAGACCGGGAGAGTGATCGGTTTCTCCTCCATCCTGTGTGAGTGCGAATCTCCGGGGGTCACCAATTGTGGGGTTATGTGATATTTGTTTACACTCAGGATGGGACGGAGAAAGGAAACTCACAATGTGCTCTCTGTATTCATGTTGTATTGGATGTACAATGCAGCTTGGTGATGGGAAGGCAGCATGGTTACAAGCGTTGAGTAAGGAGAGCTGGTTGGTGAGGGTGCTCAGAGGAGGACCAGCTTGTGGGTCGCCATGCTCGCCGGCGGGAGCAAGGGCCGCCAGGCAGGAGCGGAGGAGGTGGTGTTACTTGAAGACTGGCTGTAGGTAGAAAGAGAGGTAGGTCACCACGAGGTCAGGTCTTATATAGCTGAGGTAGGCTTGGCTTAATAGTTGACCTCCGTCATGTAAGGCGGTGCTGGTTGACCTAGACCACGAGGCATACACTGGGGAATTCGCGGAGTCGGCTACTTAGCGACAAACAGCGTTTGTAGAGGAGGAATCCACTACAACTTTACATGGTAATAGGTTAGTCTATTTTGGCATGATAAATAATTCTTCTGGTGAATTTTGGCGTTTTATTCCTCGCAAAAACTGGAAAAATAAAGTCACATTTCCGCAAGAAAAGATGTTCAGAATCGACTAAAAAACACCAAAATTCACCAGAATTATTTATCATGCCAAAATAGGCTAACCTATTACCATGTACCTACTAACCTAACCTAACCAAAATACCTGTACACCAGAAAAATATCTTATACCAATTGGGAAAATTGAGATAAAATGAATTTTTACCATTAATATTGAGCTAAGTGAAGGTTTATACCAGAAATAAATTATGGAATTGAGCCAAAATTTCTGGAGATAATATTTATATGATACCGAACCCGAAAATGGAAGTGAGAATGCACAGAACCTATTAGGGCCTGACCTAACTAACATTCAAACCTGTGCATTGTCGTTTAAAGGAGTTTTTCGGTTTTTTCCATAGCTCTTTGGATGATAGTAAGTAATAAAACCATACAAGAACTTTTTATAGTGTTACCATAATGTGCAGTCTACAAAGATATCTCTAGTCTAATCTTACCCAACCCAACCTAACCTGACCTAATATAACCCAACCAAACCCTACATCAGCTAACCCATCCCAACCCAACCCAATCCAGCTCAGCCCAACAGGACCTATTCTAACCCTACCTAACCTAACATAGCCTAAACATCTTGTAACCTGCATGCTATAGTAGCACCCTTTTTATTTTAATTATAAGTATATTGTTTTTTTTAGTTTTTCTGTACAATAATAAATCACCTGTAGTGTGCAGGGCATGTAGGGTGAGGAAAATTACAGGGTAAAACAGTGATAACTGATCATTTAACACTAAAATGGTGTCTGTAATGTTTTGTATGTGAAGAAATTAATTATTTGCTGTAAATATGCCACAGAAAAATCAGCTTTTTCGGTGCATGTTGTCATCTGCTCTTTGTTTCAGTGCAACAACCGACCTGCTCTTGACTTTACTTTACAGTTATCCTCTTCGCCACTGATTGGCTCGTTAGCTGCTTGGACGATCGGTCACGTCTCTGTTACGCACTGTTGGCTAGTACTGGCTCCTGAATATATTGGAACCTGCTCCAGTGATGGTCAAGTCTGGCCTTGAATGAGCTCAAAATCGGTGCCGCCACAATGCTCTCCGGCAGATTGTTCCAAGAGTTCACAATTCTCACTCCAAAAAAGTTTGCCCTCACAGTTTTCTGGTTTCTTCAACCTTGAGCTGCGACCCCTTGTGGGATGGATGTTTGCCAGCTCCAGATATGTACATTTGACTGAGTAGGTCGCCCCTCGCTTGTCTGTTGTATAAGCTAGGTAGTTGCAGGCGCTCTAATCTCTCTGGGTAACTGAGGTTCCATAGAGCAGGCACCAGTCTGGTGGCCCTCCTTTGGACATTTTCAATCGATTGAGTCTCTAACATACCTCCAGACAGGGAAGCACCTTGCTCTTGAAGATCGTGACAAGTGACCATCCAGATATCTAAATGACCTTCTTAAAAGACCTAGTTTCGTTGCCTGTTTCACCTTCCTTTCCCAATGGCCCGAGAACTTAAGTCCATTGTCGACATACACACCCAGGTCCTTTTCACATTTGGTCTCAATTAATGCAGTCTCTTCAGTCCAAGCACTCTCAGGTTCACAAAAAACGCACAATTACACCAATGCCACTGTAAGAAAGTTGCTTTCATTAGTACCAGATATTAAAATAAGTACAGTACTTTCTGTTTGATATGCCAGAGGGTCCAAATAGAAAGTTCTTTAAAAAAGAAAAGAAACATCTTTAAGTTTTTCTTAATGGCCTACACAGAAGTCAGCTGCTGGACTATCTACAAAAAATAAGTATCTTTACTCCTCTTTACAACATTTCCCCATGCTGCTAACACTGCATATACTGTAACTCAGCTTGTGATGATGATATAAAATTGATCAGCCGAAGTCCAGTTTTGGTGTCATCAGTACCTTGTTCTGTGTACTGCCTTATAAGGATCCTACACCCTGCCCTGCCACTTGGCACAACTGAACCATCACAACATACATGCAATGTGTACGACCTTCACTCAGGCTGTTGCTGCTACTGAAGGTGAGAAAACGCTCAGAGAGTTTTGGAAGGACTACAACATTTTGAAATGTATAAAGAACATTAGTGCAGCATGGGATGAGGTTACAGGACAGTGCATGAATGGAATATGGAAGAATGTCCTGAAAAGATATGTGAACAGTTTCAGAGGATTTAATGAAGATGAAGTAATTTCTGAGATTAGTAACAAGATAGTGGAGTTGGGTAAACAGCTTGAGTTAGAAATTGATAATGAAGATGTTGAACAGTTGGTTGAAAGTGTAGCAGAAGAGCTAAGTGAAGCAAATGCCAGACGCATTTGCTACAATTAATAAAGGGATGCAAATGTTTGACGGAATGGATCAAAATGTTGAGCATTTTGCCAAAGTTGACAGAATGGTCAAAGAGGCACTTACTTGCTACAAGGAGATTTATAGTGAAAAGAAAACTGTGCAGTCTAAATTGGACATCTATTTTAAGAAGTCCCCCATTGCTGTCTCCTCACGCCCCACCAGTGCTGCCTCTTCACTCCCTAAACATGATGCAATACCTTCAACCAGCAAGTAATTGCCTTTAAAATCACAAGTACAGTAAATCCTCGCCTAACGTCGGGGTTACGCTTCTAAAAATGCAACGTTATACGGAACAACGTTAAGCGGATCAATTTTCCCCATAAGAAATAGATAAAATACGGGAATTACGTTCCTTAGCCTCCCTTGGCCCCATGAAATACATTACATATACAGAAAATCATTGCCATTTCCAAAGAAAATAGTGCAAACATATACAACTGCTGAGTTTGTATTGGTACTCACCGATGGGCAGAGGTGGTAGAGTGAGTGTGTGGTGGGTAGTGAAGCGGAGGAGGCGGGAGGGGAGCAGAGGAGGAGAGTGGAAGCGGAGGAGGGTGGTGAGTCAGTGAGACTCTGCAGCTTCAGAGAGAGCATAGCGCGGCCAGACAAGAGAAAGTGATGCGCTGTAAAAAGTAGTCCATGACAACACAAAACAATGTTGTACCGAGTCATTGGGACGTTAAACAAATTTTTGGTATCTAAAGATTAGCGACGTAGTACCGAAACAACGTTAAGCTGACCGACGTTATACGAGGACTTACTATAACAAGTAATTAGCACTGCAAAACTAACAACATACTAGTATAGTTTTCCCATTCATAAGGACAAGAAATAACCTTTTGACTCTAGATCCTAAATTTCTATCACAATAGCCACAACACTTTTCCTCTTGTAATTGAAAATTAATGTGTTTAAAATACTTAGTACATCCAGAATACCACCAAAAATAAGTACAGTACTGTACTATAAAGTATAACAAAATTAAAGGAGGAGAGTAATTCATGATCAAGATTACATTAAGTGTTCCCACCACTTACCTTGGAGAATTCTTAAAATTCCATTCCAAGCCTGTAAAGGCTTGGAATGACTATCTATCTGATAGAGAATGAGAATCACTCCTGTTCCACAAGTCTGCAAATATCAATCTGATCTACTTCTACTGCTTCACACAACCTAGCATCACTCACCAGCAGCGCATCCTTCCCAAATAATTCAGTCAATACTACTGTATGCTCTCACTCATACCCAAACTGGTTCCTTTATATTTATTTCCCTCAATTCAAATGCATCCTTTTTCTCATCCTTCCATTTCTTTGGGTCTTCCCCTCACCTACCATCCACCTATGAATTATACATATATTTTACCAATCTCTATATTCCAATTCTCCCAGTACAGTATGTTCATATTCCTTAAGCACACCCTGATCCACTCTCTCCCTGACACTTCTGTTGCTTACACACTTTCTCCTCCTTTCTGTATTTAGTTTTCTTTGTGCCAAATTCATACCACATTGCAATTACCGAGGTCTTTTCTGCATTCTCCCCATTTATTCTATTCTTTCATAACCAGAAACCATGACTCAAACCCATACAATAATATCAGCTCAATGTTTCCCAGTACTGTATATACCCACATATGCTTCCACTGCCACGAGTCTTTCTTCATTAATAATATATAAATGTGGCTGGATATAATTTCATTTTTTTTTTACTAAATACTATTGAAACAAAAACTTGATAAAATAACTGTTTATCAATCCTGTCAACAGGTTTACTAAAGTCTTATATATTTTGTACTGATTATTTTTATTATGATGAGTAACTGCTTCAAAACTTTTTATGGTATACTGTGTCTTTTCTTATATCTTTGGCACAGCTAATTATCTGGGTCACAATCCACAAATGATGCTAACATTTCATCCAAGGTGGGACCAACAACAGATGCCTGTAATAAAAAGAAGGAAAATTATCAACAAGTATCACATCTTTTTAATATCCTGAACAAACTCCAGGAAACAGTGGATGTAACTTACTTGACCTTGACTACATATCCACATCATCTACACTAAACATCCACATCATATCAACTACAGATCCTCTTCATCCCCACTACACCCACATTACATCCACCTCAGCTCAACCTAACCTAACCTAACCTAGGAGGCCATCCGTGCCCCCCAGTCCAAAAATTGCGAGGATCAAGTTGGCGAGGGTTTACGTGTGATAAACTGACCAACAGATAATTCATAGCCTCATATGCTCCTTTGTAGTGTAAAAAGCAAAATACAGGGGTACAGTAATACCTATGGTTCCCTTTACTACCCGTCCACAGATAGTTCCAGCCAATATAGATATACAGTACAGTAATATCTCCGTTGTTAGCTGAATCCCTCTTAACCGGAACTCTCCGATAACTTGAACTGAAATTTTCTCGGAAAATCATTCCCAAAGCCAGAATTTCTGGAAAATTACAGCTTTGGGAATGATTTTCCGAAGGGCATATTTTCTGGAAAATTCCGGGGATGGGGAAGTTTTTCCCGGGTTTGAGAGGTGAAAATCAGGCACATTTTCCGGAAATTCTGTAAAAAAACATTTCCAGTTCCCCCAAAATTCAGGGGATGGGGATATTTTTCCGGGTTCGAGAGATGACATAATGTACAATTTCTGGAACTTCTAAGAAAATATTTCCGCTACCCCAAAAATTCTGGAAAATTCCAGGGATGAGGGAAGTTTTTCCGGCTTTGACAGAGCCGTCTGGTTACCCGGAAATCTCATTCCCAGAAGTGCTTTGCACCAATTGTTCCGGCTAATGGAGATATCACAGTAACTCCCACCCGACAGTCTGGATACAGTACAGTATTTGTAAACAGTTAAAGCTTCATGAATAACTACTGGGGATAGTTATACTGTACTACTAATATAGTTGAACCTCTCCAATCGGGCAACCTCTAGACCAGTGAAGTTTCTAAACCATGGGTGATCAATATATTATGATACAAAAAATTATACAAGTTCATGTACATACAGCCTCAGGTATAATGAGTTTGATCAATATTTCAAAATAAAATCTGATTATTATGCTAGTGTAAAGTTAATGGACTTCACCTCACTCTCTGTCTTCTTAGATTTCTTATGGGAGATTGGATTTTCATCAGCAGTTCTCTTGCCTGACAGAACTAAACTTTCTTGGCTGGCATATCTAGTTGAAACACCTGCATCACATTCCTCCTCTCCTAGGTTTGTTTTTCCTTTCATATCATCCTGAAATAAAAAAAAATAGATATCTACCAGCATGACAAAGGTCGATAATATAGACCTTTTGACAATCATTCTAGTACTATAGCATAGACTCTATACTTGCTAGAATGATTTAATTGTCAAAACTACAAATAATACAAATATAGAAAACCTTTGTAATTTGATTTCTCATCACATCACAGTGTACTGATTCAAGAAAACTTGGTATTCTTTGAAAGGACAGGGAGTCCTTGTTATTCATATGGGTTCCGTTCCTAAAAGCCCGTACGTAAAATGATTATATGAATAACAACAATATTTCCCACATAAATGAATGTAATAAGGAGACAGAGGCCAGGTGCCAAGCTGGTCAAGTTAGGTTATATTTGTTGCTAATCTGAAATAAAAAGCACAGAAACACAAACTAATAATAAAAACACTGAACAGCAATAAATAAAGAAAACATTATAATCATGTTAAATATATACTACTGTAGAGTACTAAATAATAATTATCAGTACAGTATATGATTACAGTACAGTACTCAGTATCCACAACTCACATGTAAACAATGCACTGTTCATGCTTCCCGGTTTGAATGCATTCTCATCCAGTTGGTGGTGGTGAATGTTAGTGGTGATTATGGAGGTTTTTGGTGAAAAATTATCAACGTGTTCACTTTAGACTACCGTTATAAAATGGACCAAGTGTGTCATTATTCCGGAATTTCGGCTTTAACGGACCGACCTTCTCCCAATTAGTCTGTTATATCCGGGGGTTTACTGTACAGTATATGTGTAGTGGATAATGAATAAGTTAGAATAACTTGAACTCCCTGTAAAAACATTATATAATTAATCCATCACATAACTGTCTCTAGCAACAAAGGTTTATACGGTAATACCAAAAGTCCAGCAATGCAGATGTCAGTAGATGATTCTCTATAAATCCCAAGAAAATTAACTTGAGATTTTTCGACCTGAATTTGAAAACTATTTTCAATACTGTACTATACAGGTCTATACACATACCTTATGTAGTTCACTTTTTACTACCCTACATGTAATGTCTCAGAGGACAACATACCACATACCTTATGTAGTTCACTTTTTACAACCCTACATGTAATGTCTCAGAAGACAACAAACCACATACCAGAACATACCTGGGGTATTGTTAACACCTTTTCATTGTAACATGTATAATGAGCATTCCCACAAAATATATTACCTGTATTGTGTGGAGATCAATAAAATAAAATAAAAATTATTGATGAACAGTACAGGGAAGAGTACTTAAATTACATTAAATAACAACTAAAACACAGGTGGATCTACCCTACCCACATGTATCACAAGATGATCAGACACTTTTCTGAGGAAATCATATAGTATTGGAGATTTTTCCTGAATACTGTATACAATTACAGTATTAGGTAATATTCTCACAAATGTCATACATAATAATTATGAGGCATCACTGACCTCAAAAAATATGCAAAAACACATTTTCTGTTGTAACCAAATCTCTGACCTCAAGAATAATTGGACATATCCCAAGATACAAAGTCATCAACATCATCAGTATTTGAAAAATTACATTTACTTAGAGGAAAATATAGTGGAAGAGTGCAGGTTCATGCCAGGTTGGCTTGGCAAATATCAGCGATGATTTGGGAAAGTGGCTAAGCCAATCAACAGCACATGCGCCTTGCATCATAGCCATACCTCTTTCCTGCGTTGCCTTAATCTAGTAGATATCGCATTTACCTTTAGTGCGATCTAATATTGATGTTGACTGTATTTTGACTATGACTGAGGTCATTAGTGTTGTGGCCCCTGGTGTTTCACGGTTTTCAAAAGCAAATCTGTTTTATCAATCTAGAATGTATCCTATTAACTTATTCCCTATGAAAAGACCTTTCTTTATTGCAGTTGCTCACATGAGTGACTGAAGCCAACAGGCTACTTACTAGTTTCATGTAAACTACAAGCAAATACCTCACCAACAAAAATCTTGTAAGATGCAGTCTCTTTCAGTCACTGTTGCCTTCAACAATTTTGCCTATTAACCATTACTTAAGAGATTGCAAGCAACATTCGTCTTCCTAAATAAGGAACAATTGTGGAAGTATCCAACTGGAAGTATGCATTTTGCTAATACAAATCAGGTAGTGGTACAAGCACAAAATTGATCAAGATGTCACTTAAAATTATCGAACTTTAAATATAAGCTGTAAAGCCACTAGCCTGCTTAATACTGTACAGCACTGGATAAGATACCATGAAGTGAAAATCTAGACATAAAAAGAAGACACTCATGTAATCAACAGCATGTACACAAACTGGTAGGTGTGGTGGTCTATACTTACTTGTTCCTCTACCTTTTCTGAACTTTCTGATAACTCTTTTTGTTTCTCATCCTCAACCCTTTTCACTTCTTCCTTCTCCTTCTCATCTTCTTCAACCTCCTCCTCCTCCCCATTTTCTTCTGTCTCCATCTTCTGTTCTGCTTCTTCAACCAAGTCATCCACTGCCTCAGCATCCTCCTCCTCTTCTTCCTCCAACCTCAAAGTTCCTTCCATATCCTCTTCTTCCTCACTTCCAGATAAAGACTGACTGACTTCTTCATGTGTTGCCTTTATCATTTCATCCCCTTCCTCTTCACCTATAATTGAAAAAAATTGCCCAAAAGTAGATTATATTGACTACACAAAAAGTGAAATTATTTCCCATTGTGGATATAGCACACTGTACACAAAGAAGCAGCATGGCTAGCACTGCAATCAAATACTTTCACTTCCTTAACCTGTAAAATTAGGCACCAATTTACTGCTGGGTGAACTGGGAATGCCCTGGAATTGAAACAGAGAACAGGACAGGAGGTAAGCACTGGACAGTATTCACTCAGACACCACTACATAACTAGTACTGAAATATAATAGCAATAAAAAGAACTCACAACCAATGAGAAGCTTAAATAAACAAGATCTCAAAAAAAATGTTAGGTTGAAATAAAAGCTCTGATTCAGAAGTCACTTAGGCTATAGTATAAACTTCCCCAATAAGCCAGGGAATTTTTTCTAAAGATATGCAATGTGAAGAATCTATTGCAAAAACTGCTATGTAAATTAAATTCTGATTCACACTTAGTGAGTTGCATCAGAAAAAGTGATGCTGTACAGTACCTCTCATTTGACCCCTCCTTGTGTTTGGGAACATTTAATCATCATGAGTAATCATTCTATTGTATTATCATTCAAACCTTAAAGGTCAAAATCATGCTTTTAGTTGAATTCTTTAAAGAGATAAATAAAGAGCATTATTAAATTTAGTAAGTGGGTGAAATGTGCTTAATGTTACCATTGGTGAGGTTCAGCTGGTGGTGTTGATTGTACATCAAAGAGCAGACTTGTGGGTTGGCCATGATGAAACTCACACTCCCTAGTGCCATCTGGCAAGCTGACACTACCTGTGTATGGAAACCACCACATGTTACGACACAATAATAAGCCTACCTCACTTTTGACAGTAATTATGTTAAAGATCTCATTGTAAAAATATAAGTTATTGTCTATTCAATACATTATATAACGACAATTTTAGTGTCCCAATAATTGCAGTAATATACTAAACTGCATTACTTGTGGACCTTGGTCCTGTGCAAAGAATAGTGTTATGTTTTGAGACAAGAAAAACAGTAACACTAGTGACAATTATACATAGGGAAAAATTTAGCCGTGTCAGCAGCCAAGAGTTTTTTTTTACGGCATTAGCCCACCTGGGTATAGGTCATTTCATGACCCACATCAAGGCCTAGTGGGCGAAAATATAATAAAACAATAATAATAATAATATTAATAAAACTTAATACAAATAATAATAATAATAATGAGCCATAAATAAAAACAAATAATACAAAAATATCAAGTGAGAAATGATATACAGTATGTATGTTGTGTTATCCAAGTAAGAGAAACAATTGAGACCCTGCAATTGTGTGTAAATGAGGCAGAAAGTACAGAAAGTCAGATCAGCAACCTGGGACTTGATCACAATTTTTGTGGTACCATATGGCAGCAGGGTCTACCATTAGACAGCATATTATGCTTCCAATATCTTCCGAGGTGGTAGTACCTCCCTATTTGGTAGCTGCCTACTACCTTTAGGTGAGGTGCTAAAAGAAGACAAGGGAATAAAAGTAGCTTGGAAATCAGTTACTATATCACTATGCCAGGTAAAGGACCAGCCCATCACACATCTTATCAGACAAAACACTGCAAAAAGATAATGTTTCTTCAGTATTTTACTTTCATATTGCTTCTATAAAACATGTGTGTAAAGCTAAATATTAATGTGTGTGTGAACAGTTTCCTACATCACACTCCTCCACACTCTCATTTTTGTCTTCCTCAGTCAACATTTCACATCTTGTGTTCCCCCTGGCTCATTTTATTGTTCATAAAATGATCATCTAATGACATCTTTAAAATTCTCCTAATATAGTATCCATAAACACCGAAGATCTATAGAGTAAACCCTGAATATTCACGGAGGAAATATTTCAGAAATGGTCGCAAATACCATTACCTTTGTTAAATGTAAGATATAAACAGTTATAAAATAATGAATACCCGGTATTTATGATGAAAATATGTACACACTGTGAATATAATGTATTTTATTAGTTCTGTACTTAAAACACCATAATCTAAGTCACTGTTTCCCCTTCTTTTACTGAATGATCCTATTTTGATGAGCTCGTCCAAATCTTTTTGTAATCTTGATAATAAGGAAGAACATTTCATTCCAGACACAAACAACTAAAAAACCTGAGTTTCCTTACCAGCATGTCTGAGTCATGTAGTCCAGCATGAAGATAGTGTAGGATGATGGTGTATGGTGGCTCACATCCTGGATGTGGATGAATTGCCATACTGGCTACTGTTTTAAACAATTGAGCTCTAGTTCTCCCATCTACATATGTGACTGGAGGCTGAGTGACCCCTGTCACTGTTGCTGCCACAGCTAATACACTTGAGAGAAGAGACTGAGGAAAAGAAATAAATGAGCATTAAGAAATATATAATTATGACCAAAACATAATACAGTATACTGTACTGTATTCCCTTCAAGTGACTGTTTCCTTTAACCTTAATCCCCTCCTCAATCATGTCTGCTGTCAGGTTATTTAATCATAATCTTTATTCCACATTTTTTTTTCCATACACTTCCCCCTCATTCACCTTCTTTAATAGAACAAAAAAAAAATTCTGTTGTACTTTCACGGATATGAAGTTTTAATTTTTATCAGAATCCTGCTTACCAATAAAATGACAACACACATACAAGTTGAAACTCTCTAATCCGGCACCCTTAGGACCTGACCGGTACCCAACCACAGAAATTGCCCCGAGAACCCCCTACCTCTCAAGCAACTGAGTGCTAATGCCATTATTACGTGTTAAGTAACCACAGAATTTGTGGAAAAGTAATTTCAGTGTGCTGGAGCGCCTGATGAATAAAGAAAGTACGGTACAGTTGGGTCTCAGATTACGAGTACGAGACCCCGCTTATATGTGTCTGACCTCCTGAACTGTCCTTACGCTAGGTCTCGCTCTTGCACAAGCCAACCCACCCAGCACCTCCCGTTAACTCAGCATGTTTATCACTTGCTCTTGCTTGTTAGAGAAAATAAAGTAAAATAAAATCATAACAATACTCTAATGTGGCTTAAAAATACAGAAAATAGAGTATAATACAAAACTATAAACTGTATTACAAAAATGAAGAGCATGGATGTGTATGTGTGGGAAGTGAACTTGTGTGTGTGGAGGCAGTGAGCTGTAACTGGGTAGCCTACTCACTATTCCTGTCGCATTCACCCCCCCCCCCACTGTGAGACATGTGGTAACTGCCCAGGTGAACTGTCACATTGCCCAGAGGATGGTTTGAGTGTGGAAAGAGATATTCTTTGTACATAAAACAAATAGTGTACCAGTAAATGTGAGGAATAAATAAAATAAAACAAAAAATACTATAGTATTGCCATTTGGCAAGAGTTTTACTACACACGGAACACTGGAGACAGTGACCAGCTGAGATCACCGCCCCACACCATTACCCCCGCCCTTTATCTGTGTACTAACTCCCACGCATGTAAAAAAAAAATTATTCTCTTTATGTTTTTGACCTTATGATAATTATTTATTATTATTAATTTTTTTTGTCACATTCTCTATGAAAAGTTGGGTGAATGTAACAGGAAAAATATGAAAATTACATACAATACAGTATATCTACTCAACATTACAAGTCAAAATATAACCATAGCATAACTCTGGAGTCCCTCTCTCTGTCGCACTGGTTCTGTGAACATCTCCCAGGTGTTCCAGTTGGTTAAGGTTTTCTCTACTGGTGAATTTTACCACAACCATGGCCCCTAAGAGGAAAATTAGTGGCAGTGCTTGTGGTGCCACCTCCCACACCTCCTGGTGTGTATAGCCAAAACACTCAGCTGGAGATATAAAGAAACTTGGCGGCTTGGCACTGCTAGTACAGCCGCCCTGGAGGCTGTTCTGCAAACTAATGGCACCAGATTCAACCATGCCAAACCACGGGAGTTGCAGGACCAGAGAGTTTCAACCTGTACTAGTTATGGCAAAATAAGGTGATTCACAAGAGAAACTTGTAAATATTATCAGCAGAAAATTCAAGTTTAATCCTGAAATCTCTGTTAGATAATCCTAACAGTAAGGTTCATTAGCACCCCAGTGTCTGGCATGGTAGGTCTACTAATTTCTAGTGTCTAGCAGAGTTGATCTATTAATCCCTAGGGCCTACCAGGGTTGATCTGGAGTTTATATAATTAACTGATCACCCTACTTCCCCCTCTGCATGGCCAGCATCAAATGAGTGGGCTTGTGTCAGTTGCCTTCCTCCAATGGAAGAGAAGGGGGTAAAATAAAAGATGTGTCCTTAATTAAAAAAATTATGGAGGAGACAATGCCTCTTCATGAAATGTCTTGTCAAGCTGAATGTATAAAAATAACTGACTGAACAAAACAATCACTTCCTTCTCTATTACAAGCTTCTAGAATACAGGTCTTTGTACCCGTTGACACACCCCACATAGAAAATGTATACTGTACTGCAATAATAATTTTAATAAAAGTATTTCTTGATTATCTGAGTGTAATAAAAATATTTCAGGATTACTGCATCCAAAAAAGAACCAAGAGCTTTCAAAGTTACTGAGAAACATAAATGTTACAAGGAACTTACTTGTTTTGTCTTTTGCATCATAGAATGGGAAGCATAAGTAAACAATGTCTCAATCAGACTCAGAGCAACTCTAGTTGTCCGGGAAAAATATTCCAAGCGAGGCAGGGGCCTAATTTGGCCAAGGGAGTCTGCAACAGTAACAGCATAGCCTTTTTTTTTGCTCTTCTTTTTATGGAGAGAAAGAGAAGATAGTCCCTTATCTATCATCTGCAATATCAAGAGAAGTCTGAGTAAAAACAGTAAAAAATATACATGACACACATACACAAAAGAGCCTTTTCTTGCTACCATCATATGATTAAACAAGGATTTGTGGTCACATTCTACTTCATCACTTCGTCTCAAATAAACCTGCATACTGTATACTGAACTGTATATCTAAGCTCAAAAAAGTGGATAAATAAAAAAGATTCCACACAAACATTTAAAGAAATCTTAAATTGTATATCACTAAGTCACTGTTTCTATCAATATCATTAACTGCTATCACCTGTTATTTATGGACTAGGTTAAATACCAATAATGCTGATCCTGGCCAAGAAAGTATTGTAACAGAATCAAGTGTTGCCAGGTATCACCCATGTAAGTACAAATCAGACCCGATGTTGTCTAGGTTTGTTCATTAGACAAGGTGCAGTGTTTACAACATAGGTAAGTAAGTATCCCAGGACCTACTCTTAACTCTTATGCCCCGGGCAACATAAACTCCCTCCAGAGCCCCACATGAGCATATTTCAGCAATTTTGTACTTATTTCAGGCATAAAATTAGTGCAGTGACTCATAGTGTACTGCTGTGGCTGGTGTTTATGCGGTGTCCTATGTCCACGGCCACCACTAGCATGACCTTGCTGAGGGGTGGTTGATGTGGTGGGAAAGTGGAGTGAGCACCATTGTCTGAATCACTGTCCTCCTCGCTGGCCACCTCAACAAACTCAACATCATCTGGGACTGTTTCATTCCCATCACTGACTTCATCACCCGATACTATATCAATGCCACTCAAATCAAGCAATTCTTCATGAACAGCACTACCATCAAGGGTGTGGAAGAGCAAGGCGGGTCACAAGATGTCAAAGGACATGCATCCATCATGATAGCTGGTGGGTAACTGGACAAGAGACTTGAGACAAAGACTACATGCAAGTTGAATTGGCAAGTACAGTAAGTCCTCACTTAATGTCATGGTTCCGTTCCTGAAAACCAGGGCATTAACGGAATAAATTTTCACCCATAAGAAATAGATAAAATACGGGAGTTACTGGGTACATTCCCAGCCTCTCTTTGCCCCATAAAATACATTACACATACAGTCATGGGCTCGTGGGCCGTGGGTTCGAATCCTGGTGGGTTGAGGTGTTGATTATATACTGTATATATATGCAAGTAAATCACTATATGTGCGCGTGATCTAGGTATATGCTGATAACCACAAGGAAGGAAGAAAACACGAAGTTCCCAAGTGCTTTCGTGTAATTCACATCTTCAGGGGTGAGTACAGACTAAAGAGAAGTACAAAACAAGGTGCATATATACAGAGGAGGGAACTTGGGAACTTCGTGTTTTCTTCCTTCCTTGTGGTTATCAGCATATATATATATATAGTCGACCCTCGTTAATTCGGACTAATAGGGGGGAAGGGTGTCCATTTTAGCCGATTGTCTGAATTGACCGATTTAGGGGTTAATATTGCATTATATTTCAAAGTCATTGTTTTCGTCACGATTTTATCCCACTTTCCACTGTAATACGTACATAATTTCAGCAAAAATATTACATTTCCGTGAATGTATTATATCAAGCACAGTATGAATAGAATATCATTGCAATATAACAGTATTTTAACCGAAAACTATTAAAAAAACGAATAACATCTCAAGAACATCGGAAGCTTAGGTAAAGTCTTTTGTTTTCGTCATGTATTTTATCCTATTTTACATTGAAAGACATCACGTTTCAGGAAAACTACTATTTATTTCCGAGAATATATTCATTCAGGCGCAGTTTAGGTAAAATATACGTGTGATGTAACAGTTTTTAAACTGAAAACGATTTGAAAAACACGTACCCTGTAGCCCTGTTCAGGGAGAGGACTGGGAGAAGCTGTTTGGTGCTGCAGACGATGACAAGGAAAATGATTTGGATGGATTTTAATGAAAATATTCAGAAATATGGTATCGTAGTATTTATTCAAGTCAATTAGGATAGAATATTATTGCAATACAACAGTTTTTTAACTGAAAACCAATCGAAAAGCGATTACGGTAACATCTTTTGAACGAAAGCAAGCGAAAGTCATTGTTTTCGTTACGATTTTATCCCACTTTCCACTAATACGTACGTCATTTCAGCAAAAATATTACATTTCCGTGAATGCATTATATCAAGCACAGTATGAATAGAATACCATTGTAATATAACAGTATTTTAACCAAAAACTATTAAAAAAACGAGTAACTTCTCTTGAACATCGGAAGGTTAGGTAAAATCTTTTGTTTTCGTCATGTATTTTATCCTATTTTACATTAAAATACATCACGTTTCAGGAAAACTACTATTTATTTCCGAGAATATATTCATTCAAGCACAGTTAAGGTAAAATATACATGTGATGTAACAGTTTTTTAAGTGAAAACGATTCAAAAAACACGTGTACCGTCTAGCTGATACTCAACAGCTGGTGGTGCGTCATGCGTCGTTGTAAACAATAGGAGGTTGAAGTAGATTACCGGGTATTATATTAAGTGTGAAATATCGAAAAGGTTTTTATTACCGGTATTTTTTGTAGATCAATAAGAACTGTGATACCGTATATGATATGATAAGTTAGCGTGTGCTAAGAACTTCAACATAGACTACTGAAAACACGTTGTAAGGTAATTTAGCCTATTGTAAGTTGGTGAGCTTCATTTGCTGAAGGAACTGCACAACTTTTCATTACAAATTGGTACATATTTTACGTTTCCAATGTTTACTGGCAGTAAATGGTAAATATTTTTCATGTCTGAAACTAAAAGTTGCATCCCCCCTCCCACACTAGTGGTGGAAAATGTTACATTTAACCAAAAAGACGCTGGTGTTTTATCCCAGCAGTGGGTGGACCAGCATTTTAGCTTAAGGTCCGCGTAGGTAATATTCCTACAAATCTATAAAAAAAAATAATAAAAAAATAAGGTTCAGATTTTGTCCGAATTATCCGAAATCCGGATTAAAGGGGTCCGAATTAACGAGGGTCGACTGTATATATATTTTGTACTCACCAATGGACGGAGATGGTGGAGTGGAGGAGGAGGGCGGGAAAGGAGGAGGGTCGCGAGTCACTAAGACCCGGCATGAACGCTCTGGTTGCTTAACAAAGACCGGCGACGCTTGGGGGATGCCGTGACGCTCCGCCGTCAAGATGAGAGAGAGTGATGAGCCGTACAAAGTAGTTCGTGACGACGTTATACAGAATCGGCAGGACATTATCCGAATCATGGGTATCTAAAGAATAGCGACGTTATAACGAAACAAAGTTATAAGGAGAGACGTTAAACGAGGACTTACTGTAAATAAGTATCATATCCATACATCGCATTTTGTCCAGCCTGGACATTCAAACTATTCCGCGAAAAGTTAAGATGGAGAAGAACATCACCCAGGGTCGCTTTGGTCGATGTATAGGGAACGTCACCCAGGTTTTAAGGGTTAATCACATCAAATAAGGCATTATGGGCTGAAGTTTTCAGATCAACTCTTCCAATGTACAAGTAACACTGCAGGGTGTCATCCTTTACAAAACTACTGTATATTTCTTTTTACGAATTAGGGATGATAACTATCTTATGGGCATCATCTTTCAATACTGACCTGTAATCTAACTTGGTGGCCCTTGGGAACCACATCTTCAAGTATTAGTTTCACCAACTGGCAGGATGGTGTGTGCCTCCCACCAGACACTTGTATAACATTGGACATAACAGAATAAGCAATGATCCTTGTCTGCTGGCCACTTGTACACCATTCAGGTTGATAGTGTAACATAGATCCCTTGATTGTACAGAGCAGAAGTTCAGCGATTACTCCAAAGTACATGTCAACACTTTCACCAATGCTGATAAGAAAGGTGGATATTAAATTTTTTAATTTTAACAATGAAATGCAATATAAAATGCTAAAAATACCGGTTCCATTTCAGTAATAAAAAAGGTTATATTATAATAGTTTCTGTTATCAATGTCTGCACCTTCCTCCACATCTAGAACAAGGTAAAACAGGTATATTACATCTCAAACACTGAACTTACTGACCCCAAAGAGGGAAAGATTTTGTTGACCACATGTACAATTTACCACAACTTTTAATGCTAATAAGCCAACAAGAAAAATCTGAATGCTTGCTCATGGTGTCTGTACTGTATGTTGGGGGAGCCATGGCAATGAAAACTTTTTGTGTAATGAAGAAGTCAGTGGATTGCTTCTCTGCATGTAGTAATAGGAGAGAGTAACAAGAAGAAAAATAAGGGAAGCATGACAATGAAAAAAGAGGAAATATAACATAATCTGGAATATGACAAGACAAGCAATAATTCTAGACCTAAAATCTGGAAAATTTTAAGAAAAAAAATAAAAATGGAATAGGGAAGAAATGGAAAACAAAGAAATTGGAATACAAAATACCCAGTATCTGTAGAGACTTGTGATGTTTCAGGGGTGTAAATGTAGCCAGATACATAAAATATTATAATTGGGTCAAGGAGCAATCCCTTCCCTTCCCCAGAGTAATGCACCTATCATCATATGAGAATAAGCTATCAACTTAGTTATTTATCAACAACCTAAGCACCTACAGCACTAATGCCCAATGATATGACAATTTTTTTTATTCATAAACCAAGATCTTGAAGTGCCAATCACTTCACTATTAAAGGCTTGCCTTCACTTCACACTTAAAATATATTAGATCTATTTTTCTAGTTCATTTCAATTACCCGGTACCCACATACTTCAAGCTTACTGAAACCAGTATGGTATATTCTAACCAAAAATCTATACAGTATTCAAGTTCCTCATATTTCTTATATAGTCACCGTTAGAACGATACCTGTACATGCTTCATCAATGGCAAATATGTAAAAAAAAAAAAATACCCAGGTAGCTGACAATCACTCTCCACCTATAACCATTACTCCTCTCACACTTTCGTTTGGAAGAGATCCATGGGAACAGAAATCCTCCAAGGTTTCGTATATCTCTGAGGACCCAGTTTTTAATTTTAATTCAACCACTTCAGTCTCTGCCTTCCCCTGGCAGCTAATGTTTCCTTTCATTAGGTCTTTTAGTTTATTATATAATGTTTTTGCTTGCCCTAATCTTGTTTTAATTTCTTCCATACATCTACCATCACAGCTACTGTTACTTCCCAAATACACAAAATTTTTCACTGGGAGAGATTGATGCAAGACAAATAAATAAAGTGAGAGTAGAAATATTGAAAAATATTCAATTACAGTATATACTCAACTTACATTTGTTAATAAATAAGGCTTACTGACCTGAACAATATATCTCTTATCAACAGTAGGCTGTGCTGGTGTAAAGACGGCATAAAAAATGCTAACAACTTGTGCTCTCGACTACGATACTTGGTCAAAACTAATTGATCAACCTGAAACAAAATATTAATTATCACCCCTTTGCTTCTCAATTATTAATACACATTTACTGGTTTGTTACCATAATCAAATGCTAAACCATTGGCATAAATAAATTTCTTAAGATAGGACAGTTTTCCTAGAGAAAGCCATTTTCTTATCTGTGTGTTAATAATAATTTCAAGTTAATGAGGAAAAAACATTCTTGAGACAAACATGAATAGTATAGACCCTTTGATTCTGGTGGAAATATTGTTCTCATTGATTTAGTGGTTCTTGTGATGGCATAAATACATTTTATCACTTAATAGTTGTTCTTACACTGTACAATAAAAATCATATATTACCTGTAAGCATCTGAACACTACACTTAATAGTTCACGAGGAACAACGGTCACAGCTTCGTTCACATCTGCAGTGATCAGTTCACCAATAAACTTCATGGAGTTGACAAGTCGTGTCACAGCAGCCAGATGTGTTCGTAGGGTGTCTGTGTTGCCTTCTCCCAGGGTTAAAAGAGGTGTCAGACGTAGGTTGTATTTTCTTGTGTGGTCATATGACTGCAGAAAAGTATGAACACTATAAATATATTAAGAAGAATCATGTTTGAAAAATGACAACCTTCTCTACTAAACCCTTTTACCACTAAAATGCACCCAGGTATCTAAAAAACAAAAAAACAAAAAAACATGCATAAGAGTTCCCTTTAATAAAAACACAATGGCTATCGAAACTTCGAAAGTTATAATACCACTAAGGAATTTCAATACTGTTTAGACTTATAAAGTTTTAAAGTACCATAAAAGGTCAACATTCAGCAGAACACAAGTTTAATATTTATAAAGGTATCTACTGTAAACACATCCCTTAAACACTAAGCCTTAAAACATATCCTGAATAGTAAAAGACTACTCACTTCTTTTTCCAATATTCCATCAAAGAGGTAGTCCATGAGGTCATGACACACAGCCACCAGCTGGGTAAGTTGTCTCCCCCTAGCCTCAGCCCGGCCTTGAAATCCACTACCTCCCATTCCTGGGAGTGGTAAGGCAGCAAACACTCGACCTGCCTCTGATATGGCATCTCTTTGGCCTACTCTTGTCAAAGAACCATCCAAGTACCCAAGAATGTGTTCCTCAAGTACTGTCTGATAAAGATATTGTAACCATAAAATACTAATACACATGTACAGCACAGTATTTTCAAACAGCAAGAAGGCATTACATTTCTCATGAATGGCTTTAAAAAACAGTCAGAGGTGTTCCTCAATCTTAAAAACTGGTAAGAAAGAAAAATGCAGTTAAGGTATATTCTTCAAGATTACTTTCACTTTACAGACACATCTTATTCATCATTGCAAATTTTAAATGACTCTAATTACAGTACATACCAACGACACGAAACATTTCAGAAATAATCGTAATGTACTGTACGTGAAAAAAGAGAAAATGGCCAGCAAACTATAATAACTATGCTATAATCACCAAACTGATGTCATTATACAAATATACAGTACACATTTGTCAAGACCATTCTGATAAATTTTAATTCGCAGCATGAAATAACTATCAATAAGATACAGAATGGACAAAGTATGATCATGATTTCTGGTAAAGTATGGGTAGCCATAATTACCTTGTGTGCTAGGCACTGGCCAGGAGCGAGCTTCATGTATTCATATAAACATTCTAATGCTGCACAATCCCACTGAAAAGAAAAGATGAAATATATTATATTTTCTAGCTTGGAAAACATGAAATGAATCAGTACTGATAATTACAGTATATGATATTGAATTAGTAGTAACATATGATATTGTATGAGCATTACTTTTTAATAAACATGGCACTTGCTTAGCTTTTTCTTAATGCTAATACAGTATACTAAAACCTCTCTAATCAAGACAAATTCACCCAAGATGTAGTTATAGTAAATGAGAAGTTTGGACTGGAGGGTAATTACCTTAAATCAAGTTCTTTGCCTTAAAACCATATACTGTACAGTGTCATCTATTAGTACACACACCTAGTTGCCAGGTCCTGATACTATGATGGGACAGTCATTCTAGGTTGGATTCATTAGTTTGTAATATATAATTATGTTGGGGGATGTGTCTTAGTTAAGCAAGAACCTGTTAAAAGTTACAGTCCACAACAGAGAGTACACATTGCATAATACACCTGGCAGCTCAGAGTGACTCACATTATATGGTATTGGAATTCAGCAGTATATGTATACTGCACAACATTTACTGCTGGCACGTTCTTATGCAGCGGTTCCCAAACACGGGGTCGCGACCCCATGCATCAAAGGGGTAGCATAGAAGTCATGGGGTCGCAAGGCTCTGATAGAGCTCATGGGGTCGCTGGAGTCACCTGGGTCTTGCAGCGGTCACATAAGATTATTTTTTTTGGTGCAGGTGTCAAGGACTGAAGGATGTGGCCCAAAGATGCTGTCTCGTTAAGTTGGAACCATAAATTATGGTCAAGGGATTTAAAATGACAGCAAATATCAATTATATATTCCCTGAGTTGCTTACCAAGTCTTTTGATTTTGTTAAGTTTCCATTCAAAACAGGTGTAAAACAGTGTGACTCTTTTGCGCTCGGTTTGGCAGAAATAAATGCTCACAATGAGGCAAGGGTGAATTTTGACCTCTATGATGACATCAAAGTTTTAGATTATTTTATGAAAGAAACATTCAATGGTTAAAAATCGAGCTATCAAGGTTCTGGTACAATTTGGAAGGACCTGTATCTGTGAGGCAGCTTTCTTGTGAAGGGTGTTTATAAAAAAATTATTACTGTAACCGTATACCAAACTTCAACTTAGAAAATTGCATGCTATGTTGCTTAACCTCATACTCCCAGGTATAGAAAATTAATCAAATTATGAAATATGACACAGTTGTAGCATATGACATGACAGAGTTGTAACTTAGAAAGCTGTATGTTATGTTGTCAATTCAAATAATCATATAGAAAATCATATAGTTTAATCATATAGAATAATCATATAGTTTATAGAAAACTTATTAAATGATGATGCACACATATCACATAGGAAATATGAGAGTTGTAACAAAGAAATTTGTATGTTATGTTGCTTAACCACATAATCATACACCCAGGTAAGATGATGATTTAAATATGTCATGTACAAACTGTATTAATCATGACAGAGTTGTAACCTGTTTTTGCCAGTGTTTACTTTTAGACTTTTCAATTGCTGTATGTAATACATTTTCCTTATTTGTTTTTACACTTAAATAAGTATAAAAATATGTCTGTATTTATTCTTAGAATCTTCATTTAGACAGTGCATGTGTATATACTGTACAGTACGTATACAGTAATATCTCCGTTAGCCAGAATCCCTCAAACCCGGAACTCTCTGTTAGCCGGAATATAAATTTTCTCGGAAAATCCTTCCCAAAGTCGGAATTTTCCAGAAAATTACGGCTTTGGGAACGATTTTCCAAGGGGCACTTTTCCCGGAAAATGACTGAAAATTTTCCCGATACCCGGAATGTTCCAAGGATGGGGGAGTATTTTTCCGGGTTTGAGAGATGAAAATCGGGCGCATTTTCTGGAAATTCAGAGATAAATTTTCCATTACCCGGAAAATTCCGGGGATGAGGGATATTTTTCCGGGTTTGAAAGATGATGTAATGGGCAATTTCTGGAACTTCCGAGAACATTATTCCGTTACCCGAAAATTCAGGGGATGAGGGATTTTTTCCGGCTTTGAGAGTCATCTCGTTACCTGGAAATCTCTCATTCCCGGAAGTGCTCTGCACCAATTGTTCCGGCTAACGGGGCTATCACTGTATAATAACAACTTGAGGTCGTATTGGAAAATGTTTGGGAACCCTTGGTCTAATGGGTCACACACGTGTGTTTTAAGCTTTTTGCAACAAATCATACTGGGCTCAGATTTAAGGGGCTGATCTGGAATTTTTCGTGGATTCCATTTTGAGGAAACATATAGTTTGAAGGTGTCAGGACTGGAGGAGTTCTTGTGTACAGGCTGACCCCAATTAATAAATGGGTTAAATTTCTGAAGAAAAAAGTGTAAAACAAAAAACTGTAAATCAGGGTCAGCCTGTAAACATCTGAAAATGTAAAACAAGCTCTTCATAAATGCAGCCACACAGATCATGGCTCTAAAGTACACTGCATATCTACTGTCCAGGTTCAGTAGGTGATGCTAGCTCCCAAATGCCTTAGTCAGTATCTGAACATTTTATGCTAAAAATTAATAATAATTGTTTTCATAATTTTGAATTTTTTCTTCCTATGGCAAAGCAAAGGATGAAATAAATCTAACCTAAAAAATTCTTAAAAAGGAGTAACATGAAACAGGATCAGCCTGTACAGTACTTCATGAGTCATGTTGTGTTCATTAGTAAAAGAAAGAAAAGGTAATAGTTTGTTTACAGTTAACCCAATGTTCTGATAGCTTTTCTTAAGATTAAAACTTGTTTTAACCCCAGAATTTGGATAAACTTGGTGGTGGGTGCAAACAAAAATCACTAAAGAAACAAATGTGTAATTGTCCCTAAGATATGTAACTGACTCATAAACAAGGTCACGAAGTACAGCATGCTGTACCACATACTTTTTTAAAGTGAACTAAATGAACAGACTAAACCCATCCTAACCTACCAAACATAACTAAAATACTCCAATCATTACTGGAAAAGACTTGATAGCTTAGGTTAGCTTTTGCTTGTTTTAAGAGAATTGCATGAAGGAAAGTACCTATGTCTTACATTATAGTAACAAAACACTTCATCTTAGAGCACAAACTAATTGACTCTCATATTTACAATGTGAATATTATTTTCATTATTTCTTTCTCTTTTATCCAACAATCATGTGCCCAAATTCGCAGCTTATGTAAGTTTTACTCTACAATATAGTACAGTATAAGAATAGTTTGTTAAAACATTAGTTTTGCTACAAAGATAAGTGGATGAAATGTTAAAACTATGACATTACATGTACTGGTTGTACTGTATAATTACTGGTAATGAAAGTTGTATAGAGTACACGTTTAAAATGATACCTACTAAGGAGTCGGCAGTTGCCAGGGAGACCAGAAGAGGGCCTACAGATTTAGACAAGATGATCCTCTGTAGCTCGGGGACACTGGGCAAGTCCCTGAGAATGCTGGAGATGATCTGACAGGCATCCTTTTTAGCTCTTGTCCCCCACACAGATTTTATAGTCTGTAAATAGTACAATAATTATGTCAACGGATTAAGAAGAGACGGCTAAAGTGTGTAACTACGTCTTAAAATAAAATTGCATGTACAGTACAGTACTAATTAATTAATTATATAAAACTAGTGGAAAAAATCCAGCTAATATATAATGAAGATGCCTTAGTATGAAGGTGAAAGGGGTACATATATACCCTGTATGTCTCACTGCCGAGCCAAATTAATTTACTGTACAGTATTACATAAAGGATATTGTGGATAATTCTATGATAGTTCAGTACACTATCTTCAAATCTACTGTAATTAAAATTGTAAGCACTGGAAAGAGACAACAGAGAATTATGATATCATTGGTATATTGATATACAGTATTAAGTATTGAACTGTACTCCAACAGTGATTAATTACCCACCATATTTTATGTTAGTTGGCTTCTCTGGGCTCCAATTATCATTGGATAGACGGAACAATGTCAGTTACATCCATATTGCTTAATCAATTACAAGTACAGCTAGGTACAAACTTACCCTCCACCAAGAATGAATAGAAAAGAATAGAACAGGGATAATGTACAGAAGAGCGGAAGAGATGTAAGCAGTAAGAGATTTGGTTTTGGTATGCAATGTGCGATCCAAATGATTATGTGAGTTTAGTTTAAGCCAAAAAGATCAATGAATCGGTCGATGTCTCCACGTTGTATTGAATTAAGGTGAGGTGACCACGGTCTTCCTAGGGTACACAATCGTAGACACGTCTGCTATGATGGTCTAAGCTCAACTGACCTCCTTCGACCCTGAACAGCAGGAGGCACACATCGTGCCGCGATATCAGTTCTGATTGGTTGGAACTCGCTGTCTAAACAGTGTTGCCATTTTTCTGCCAGATTTAGCTCTTTTACATGTGATCTAGCAGGCAAATTTGAAATCTAGCAGCTAGCTTTTTTTTCCTAGCTATTTTTAAAGAAGCCTGATAGATTCCTAGCATTATTAAAGCCGATTATTATCATACTGATTTTTTAAAGATGTACGTACTTTAAACTGCAAGAATTATTTAATGCTAAGTTTAAAATTTCCTTTGACACCGTTATAACTGGTTTTGAACGAACGTGTACAGAACGATTTTTGGACACACTAACGGAACTAATGCAAGTCCCCCCAGAAGATATTAGTGTCATTGATAATCAGTGGAAAGAAGTTAAGCAAACAATTCCTTTCTGGAATGAAGTGTACAAGTACAACTACCGGGATGCCTCAGACTGCAATCCATACCAGAAACTGGCTGAATTTGCTCTGTCAGTCCTCACTCTGCCTCACTCCAATGCTGAAGTTGAGCGAACATTCAGTCAGTTAAACATAGTAAAAAATAAACTGAGAAATCGTATGACAACAAAAATGGCTAATGCCATTCTAGCAATCCGGGCAGGATTACGAAGAAGTGGAAAATCTTGTCAGGAGTATGAAATCCCTGCTGATACTCTAGGCAAGATAGGTACTTCCCAAGCCTACAGCAAAGGTGAACCACAGCCAAGTACCAGCAAATCAGAAGCCCAAGATAATGATGACGATGAATTCTCAGAGTTGCTGTTTTCTTAAGAGGTGAGTATTCTGTGTACAGTGGGGTATGCTATAACGAACGGATCCTACTACGAATATTCCTATAACGAACGGTTTTACCTATAAAATTGAGAATGCTATAACGAACGAAACTCCTACAACGAACATTATTTAATTTTTTTTTTCTAATTTATTGTTTTTTTATTACAAATATTAATGATATTCTTTATTTCAGGGGTTTAGATGCATATTTATGCACTTTTTTACAATTTTTACAATTTTATATTATATTTTTCAGTGTAAAGTGGTTGTATTTGGGGGCCTGGAACGGATTAATCCTATAACGAACGAATGCTATAACGAACAAGGTTCTAGAACCAATTAGATTCGTTATAGCATACCCCACTGTACCAGTATCAGTATATTCAGAATGTTCTTTTAATCTAAATATTCTCTTGCCATGACTATAGTAATAATAAATGGAAGAGCGTGATTTAAAAAAAATGCAATTTTTGATTACGTATATTTACATCATGTCGTATGCAAGAATAGCTTGCTTTTTTGGCTCCAATCTAGGGGGTTTTCAAGGCCTGTCTAGCGGGATTTAAATTACATCGATGGCAACACTGTGTATAACTTTCCATCTATTTATTTTATTACTCACTAAGCTCTGTACTGGATTCTCACTCCAATAACTATTAGCATTCAAGATCTGCATTTCTTCAAGGGTTTGCGCAAATATTTATCATTTATAACAAGATCTTATTGAACTAAAATAATGTGTTACATAGCAAGCAGCATTCTTATTGGATGGGAAGATAGCCTGGGTTCTCACTGGCTGATTATTCTCACAAAATGGTAGAGACAACACGACACTTCATACACTCATTAATTGTTAATATACAAAGATTTGCACCTCAGTAACATGTCTTTGTTCAACATACACATTTATTAATGATTTATGCTTATGTTTAGTGATTTGGGCTTGGTTTCATTTAGAAAATGTGTAGAAAGGACATACAGTAGTGGTTATTCTAAACACACAGGCGAGTCAGAATTGTGGTCGAGATGCTAAAATCTCAACAGATATGAAGCCAATAAGTAATGTGGATTGAAATTTTTTTTTACATTTGCTGTAGGTTGTATCCCATTTGTATGAGCATTTACAGTACTTTTAAATCTAAAAGTGACACTGATCACAGGGAGTGATCCAATCTGATATCAGTTGACAGAAAGATACCTGAATTGTTTTCTTAATTCTTATACTGTACAGTATGCAAAATAGAGCAGTATTCAACATTCACTTCAAAGAACATTTTACATGCAGATCAATTAAAGTGAGAATCAAAAGTCCCAAAAACATCTCTAAGTAGATGCAGTATTCTTGCAATTTTATTTCAGCAAACTGAAGAGAATTTGGTGCTTTGACATAGGAAGGGTGTTGTGTAGGGGTGAATACATCACCTGTGTTGTGTAGGGGTGAATACATCACCTGTGTTGTGTAGGGGTGAATACATCACCTGTGTTGTGTTGGGGTGAATACATCACCTGTGTTGTGTAGGGGTGAATACATCACCTGTGTTGTGTAGGGGTGAATACATCACCTGTGTTGTGTTGGGGTGAATACATCACCTGTGTTGTGTAGGGGTGAATACATCACCTGTGTTGTGTAGGGGTGAATACATCACCTGTGTTGTGGGGTGAATACATCACCTGTGTTGTGTTGGGTGAATACATCACCTTGTGTAGGGTGAATGTTGTGTAGGGTGAATACATCACCTGTGTTGTGTTGGGGTGAATACATCATCACCTGTGTTGTGTAGGAGTGAATACATCACCTGTGTTGTGTAGGGGTGAATACATCACCTGTGTTGTGTAGGGGTGAATACATCACCTGTGTTGTGTAGGGGTGAATACATCACCTGTGTTGTGTAGGGGTGAATACATCACCTGTGTTGTGTAGGGGTGAATACATCACCTGTGTTGTGTAGGGGTCAACACAAACGCTTTACTGACCTGAGTACAGAAGACGAACCATCTATCCCCCTGTACTGCCAATATCTTCTGTGGACACTGTTGTACCAACGACAGTAAGAGTTTCAGCCCATTTTCCCTGAGAAACAAATTCACACATACTTTTAGTACACAATCAGCAAGAAATACATTTATTATGAAGTACTGCATCAGTCAACAGACTATGAGGTAGTACCAATATATTAATTGACTGACATGCTCAAATACTTTTTTTAACTACAGTATACCAGTATTGAAGATATAGCCCTATACAGGTACCTAAATGCAGTACTGGGTATACATATCTTTATTTATATTCATTTATATGAATACAATATAGTGATATTTCCATTAGCCAGAACAATTGGTGCAGAGCACTTCCAGGAATGAGATTTCTAGGTAACGAGATAACTCTCTCAAACTCGTAATAAAAATCCACCATTCCCAGAATTTTCCAGGTACAGTACCAGGAAATTTTTCTCGTTATTTTCCAGAAAATGTGCCCCTCGGAAAAATCGTTCGCAAAACAGGAATTCTCCGGAAAATTCCGACTTTGAGAATGATTTTCCGAGAAATTTCAATTCCAGCTATCAGAGATTTCTGGGTTTGAGGGATTCTGGCTAACAGAGATATTACCTGTACTGTATTATTATTACTTTCATATACGGTAGTCTTTGAAATTAATATTGTTCAAATTAAATCTTCGCCACCGATCAAGTCGGCTCGTTAGCCGTGATTTAATTTTTTCCAATATTAATTTTAAAACCTTTGTGAAAACAATAATAATAATAATAATATTTCATTAATATAACTAAATAAAATATTACTACTATACAGCTATTTATTGAATCAGACAATAATACAAGGTAATTTATGAATTCACAACTTCTGGCAGATGTGATGACTCACTAAAAGCTGCTGGGACCTCAACAAACTCACGTAACCTACTTTTAGGGAACTCTCAGTCTTTATTTTGTTAAGTATTTAAAAAGTAAAGCAAACATCCAACATTTTTTGGGGGGGTGTGTTTGGAAACAAAACTTGTAGCCAGAGAAGATAATTTAGCTGTCTCTCACTTGGAAAACATATCTAAATAATGAATATTACTACTAAAGTTTGAACAATTAACTTTACTCTAAAATAATTTAAAGCTTAACTTGACAGTCATCAGTTGCTGTAAGAGAACAACAATAATGAAGTCAAGATAAGCTCTGAAACATTTAGGAATCACATTACTGTACCTGTACTGTATTTTTCTCCAGGTTACAACTGCAAAGTTTAGAAAAAATCTATATAATTAGATCTTTTAATAAAACTAGCAGTTCCTAAATCTTGTTTATTTTACTTGTTTTTTAGTACAGTACTTTAAAATATTCAATGGCAATCACTGTAATTCACAAAAAATGTGTTCTTGAATGAAGCAATACCTCGAACTTTACTACCCAGTTCTGTCTAATACTGTACAGTACACCCGGATAATTCGCGGATGACACCCTGGATGTACCCAAGAATGTCTGCGGGTAGTTTTAAAGTTGCCAGCATTTTTGCAGCCAGGACAGGGAGCCATTCGTTCTAGAGACAGTAATTTCCTTTACCTGTATTGTATATGGGTGTGGGTGTCTACACACACACACATATGTATACTGTATATATAAAATACATACAGGTAAAAGAAATAATTGTCCTAAGGCCAAAAACATAAAGGGAATATACATTTCTTTGTACACAAGTTAAAATGTACCCCCCCCTCCCAGTCAGCAAATGTTATTCACGGATTTGGCAATTCGTGGCCATTTTGAGAACCTAATCCCCACGAATTTGAAGGGCATGCTGTACTACCATACTGTATTTGATAACAACTTTCGAGGTATGATTACTATAACTCACCTGGTTTTTCCATTATTCAGCAAAGTATTGACTTTCTTCACATGGAAATCCAACATGTGTGGAAGCTGAAAAATAAATACTGTATTGTAAACCATATATTAGTCACTGCTTATTAACTAAAGGACATATCTAATACTGTACAACACTAGTAATAAGTCTACAAGTTAGTATCCCCGGTACACTTCTTGGAAAGTATAAATACTGTAGTGAGAATGGCAGTAAATTTCTGAATTTCTTATAATTTGCTGATCAAAAATTCTACATTATGGCTAAGCCTCTCCACACTGCAGCGGTGAGAATTTAAGCAATGAGAAACAAACCTAACTTACTGTATTTTATAGCTTATAAAATGCACTCCAATTTCAGCACTGAATATTTTAGAAAGAACCTTTAGTGTATTTTTTCTCCTGTAACCATAGTTTTCATAAAATGAGGGTTAAATAAAATTCAAAGTGTTCATACTCATTCACTCACCTAACCTAACCTTTACAGGGTGAGGAATTTCCGTGGACTCCAGCCAGCCACCCGCCCTACCTCCCTCACACAGAATTCACTTGACACTCTTAATTTTATTTCTTATTTTATAGTTTTATATTATATTTTCTTTATTTCTAAGTCAAATTAGAACACTGAAATGTTTTTATGTAAATTAACACCGCAGCAATTGGTGCTCGGCCGTGAATTATAAATATCAAGAGGTTCCCCGTGCATTTAAGAACATGAATTTATAATAAGCAAAGTGTAGCGACTCCACAGTATAAACATTGGAGCTATTGCATCATAGTGCACAGCTGTGCATATGCTCAGGATAGCATCTACACAGTCACTACCCACTACATGAGTGCATATAATAAAAAACATTCTAATTACTGTATCACAAAACAATATCTTAATCATGCTTTGTTATTTACTCTATTGTTTCATTACTTACAATAGGCTAAATATTATGTCAGTGCATGGTAATATATCGTACTGTATACAGCCACTACTCGACTTACAACGGGGTGAGGGACCCAAATCCAGGTCGTAAGTCTAATTGGTCGTAAGTCGAAAATGCGAAAACAATACACAGAAAATCTAAAATGGGTCTCTTTTTCTTCTCAGCACCACAAAACTCTCACTTCTAAGCATGCCAGCAATTTTAAAGGGAATTGCAAACGAAAATTTTGTCAGTACAGTGACCCCTCGTTTAACGAACTCAATCCGTTCCAGAAGGTCGTTCGTTAACCGAAACCATTGTTTCAATGGGTTTTTTGGTAATTGGTTCCAGCTCACCGAAAATTTCCTAAATTCAACAAAAATGGTAGAAAAGTTCACTTACTTTGAGGTGTGTATGTAGAAGGCTCCTGGATAATGATGATGATGATGGGAATTAGAATGGTGGTGGAGGAGAAGGAAGAAGAGAAGTCATTGGGGTGGAAGAGAAGTCACCCCATGGCACCATTTCACCCATAAAATTTTAGTTCTCTTGGTGTATTTCAAGATTATTTTCTTTAAATCACCACTGCACTGCATTATACATTGTCAATACGTAAAATATATTTCAAAATGACTAATAATTTGCTTGGAAACACAGAAAAAAAACATTTAGTTAAAGAGTCTCAAGCAAGATGTTACCTCCAGTGAAAACAGAGAGAGACTAACGCCTGTTTGCTGTGTTAAGAGGCTGGATGCCGCGCATTAAACTAGTCACTTTACCTTCAATTATGTTCAATAATTGTTAAAATGACTAAAAAATTTAATATTAAACTTTTAAAATTATTGAATGGTATAAACTTCTTGATATTTACTAAAATAGTAAGGAATTTAAGCCCTAGAACCGATTAATGTATTGGCGGACTGATACTGAAGCTGGTTGCCCGGTCAGTGCAAGCGAAAACATGTTGAGGTCGGTTCGTAAGAAATTCGTTAACCAAATTTTTGTTCGTTAACCGAATTGAAGATCCTTATGGAAGGCAGTTCGTTAACCGAAATTTCGTTAACCGAGGCGTCCGTTAAACGAGGGGTCACTGTACACAGTGCAATCACAAACGTCGGGACTCGAAAATACGTAATTTGACAAAATTTTGGTACGACTTGGGCGGTCGTATGTCCGAGTGGTCGTAAGTTGAGGAGTGGCTGTATAAGAAAATGAGGTAATGACTGAGAACTGCACTTCTACCACAAGTTGTTTCATTTTGTTCACAGTAGTGCTGCATTTTAAAAGACGTGACTTACTAGAACCTCATCTAACCAACCACAGAACCCTACCTAACCTTACCTAACTTCCGGCGTACCTCCAACTCGGCCCATCTCAAATAACTAACTCGGCCCATCTTAAATAACCAACTCGGCCCACCTTGCACGATTCAAACAAGTTGCTAACTAGAGGTTCAGGAATGAGTTTGAGATTTGTTTTATGTCTCTTTTGGTTCACTGAAATACGAGGAGTGTGAATGAGTGAATACCGAGGGTTCAATTGGTATGAAGGAAGAAGTTCATGAATTTATGTTAGTAGAACTTGATCAATGAACCATGATTCACAATCGTAACTTGTGCTTCTCCAGGTTATTTTGAATAGGGTTTGAAATTATTACTTCCAGCAATTTGTTTACAATTGATGTTAAACTGATTGGACAGTCATTAGAGGATAGTGATCTATCTCCCTTCTTGAAAATCTGTATCATATTCGCTATCCTCCAGGATTCTGGTCCTCCACCCGTTTTTAATGACATGTTAAATAAATTTGCTTAGGGCATACTTAGCTTTTCCTTACATTCCTTTAATACTCTGTCAAATATCTCATCGGGACCTGGTGACTTCTTAGGCTTTAGCTTGTCTATTTGCTTAATAACATCGTTATGAGTCACTACTATCTCGCTTACGTAATCTATTTTCTTTACTATCTCTGCCTCGGGTATCAAGTTTAAATATTTGGTGGTGAAAACTATTGAAAAATACCTGTTCAGACTATTGCTCATTTCTCCATCGTTATCAGTTAGCTCGCCGGTATTGGTCCAATCTTGTCTCGTGTTTTAGTCTGATACATTTGAAAGAATCCCTTGGGGGGTTTAACTTTGCCTCCCTTGCTACCTTCAGTTCATTATTCCTCTTTGCTTTTCTTATCTCGGTTTTAACCCTACCGGCCAATACCTTATAATAATCTCGGAGGTAAACTTCACGATTTATTCTCCAACCTATAGCCTTCCTTTGGCCAATAATATTTTTTAAATAATAATTATTTTATCCATTTCGGATCATTGTTATTTGATCCTAGTTTTCTGTATGGTATATTTTGCCTTTGTGCATTAAGTAACTCATTATTTAAATTGTTGTGGAACTCATCAACCTCAGATCTCGTGATCAGGTCACCCTCAACCGTTATATTTTTTGTGAGGGTGTCATTGTCAGGTCTCCAGGTAAAGTGATCTTAATTGTGAACTAATTAGAAAATATAAAATTATAATAAAAGAAAACAGATCACCTCTTCCACACTAGGTAGAAGGCAGCTGTCAAACAGGGAGGTATTACCGCCTGGGAAGATATTGACAGCATAATGTGTTGTCTAATGGTAGACCCTGCTGCCATATGGCATCACGAAAATTGTGACCAAGTCCCAGGTTGCTGATCTGCCTTTCTGCCTCATTTACACACAATTGCAGGGTCTCAATTGTTTCTCTTACTATTGACAACACAACATACATATATTGTTTCTCACTTTTGATCTTTTTTCCATTTTTTTATTTCTTTATTATTATTACAGTATAGTGTTATTATTATTAGAATTATTAATTTATTATTTTATTTTCAATTTTGTAATTTTTATTATAAATTTTATTTACTATGAATTATTACCATAATTAGTATTAGTATTATATTTTCGCCCCCCAGGCCCCGCTGTGGGTCAGTGACCTGTGCCCAGGTGGGCTGATCCCCATAAAAGAAAAAAAAAGAAATAAATATACATTAATAAGATAGAATGAAAAGATAAATAATAACAAATCAATTACCCCCCCCCCCTTACAATCTATGCTACTTTATATCATTGTACTTTTATCATTCATGCAAAAATTGGTAAGCTATTACTTTTATTTTTTTTGTCCGAGTTCATTAACCTAAGTGGTCGGAGTTGGTTAGCCAAGATGGTCCGAGTTGGCAATGGGCTGAATTGGACTGTAACCCTAACTTCCTAGCCAAGGGGTCTGCCATATTAAACAGAATGAACTTATATTTTAATATATGGTACCAATAAAAGCAACTAATTAATTTCTTTGCATACAATGCACACAGACATCATTTTATTGCCATATGATCAGTTTTTCACTGTGTTTTACCCCACAACTTCCCTCACCATCCATGTCCTGCCCAGTCCAAGTGATTTATGATCATATATAAAGAAAAAAAAATTCAAATTCAAAAATACTTAAAATAAAAAGTTATAGCCTCCTTAAAATACTGTACTTAATATAATGATAAGAATATCTCTGATAAATATTAACAAAATCGAACAACTCCTACTGCTGTTCTCAGAAAAAAATGGAAATACTAGTAATTTTGGTACCGGTAAATGCCCCAAAAAATTAATAATAAAAAATGCAAAATACAATACACTGAACCAACTGTATCTTCCAATTTGTTGTCTTTGTTTTTTCGTGCAATATATAGATACGGCAGCCTTATGCAAAAGGTCGATCTAACTTAACAAAAACTGCCATACCTTTAACCCCCACAGTCCATCAATACAGCTGTCGTACCTGCATCAAGTGTGTTGATTTTTCCCTGTGATCTTCCACCAGATTTGGAAACTATCTATCAACACTTTTTCCCCTATCTCCAAAGCCCCGCTCACTTCCTGCATATCTCTGTTTGCTTCCATAACTGTACACGCTCAACAAAAACTTCTCCAACACCTGGGCACGATGGATGTGAGAATGAGCAGAATGGGGCTTGTGATCTCCGAATGGTTTCAGATTCTTCGTTCATTTTTCAGAGTGCATAGTGCTCATGGCATTGGAGAAGATTTGGTGAGTGTACATTAGAGATGGAAATAAAGGTCATATTCTTCTGAATCAGCATGAAAAACTTAAGAAAACTTCTTTTGGGTTATTAATTCCACTTTAGGTCACTAAGGAATCTTAATCAAATATTCTAAAGTTACTGGTTAATATTTGTAACTGCTCCAGAGTATTGCCAAGATAAATGAACCAAGATGCTGTTTGGTCAACAAAAGATCCTTTACCAGATGCCAGCACGCCATCTATCCCCTACAAATGCAGTATAATTAGTTTGTTTAGGTTTATATTGTTTAATGTCAGCCACTACATACGGTTCTTACCTCATTCTGAAACAGCCCTGTGTTCTGAACAGCTTCACTTATCAATTCACTGTTCCTCTTGATATAGTTTTTATCCTGTCGAGAACATATACTGTCATATATCTCCATGTTCCTGGCTCACGTCACACACCGCACCGGCCTCACGTGTCTCAGCTCAGGACCCACCACAACACTGTTTACATCCCCAGTTAATGTTGGATTACATTAAAGATAATTTTAGCTGACTGTGATAATTTACAAAAATAATAGAATAATGACATTATATTACACTTTAATCCTAATAATAATATCGAATTTATCTGCCCACAATTCTTGACAGGTATTACGATACAATTTAATATTTGTACAACATAACCTGTGTACAAAGACTCCTCGGGTTGACTTGGGCAGAGGGATTGGGGGAAGGGATTTTCTGCCTTGTCAGCCGTCACAGACACAGTTACAGAACTTACATTACAATCTATCTATTTATGCCACTAACAGTCAACTAAATGTCAATTTGAAAGTTTAGATTTTATTCTTATTTAAAAGTAGGCATGAGAAAAAATATTGCATTTGTCAAAGTTGTTATTATTGTACACAACATTTCTGGTTTAAAATTTAACTGTTTCAATATCAATATTAGAATGGTTTTAATTTCCATTGAAAATTACATGAGAGTCAAGAAGGATAGGTAGCACCATCCCCAGGAGGTGTAATTATTGATTTGTATTATGGCGCGAGCTGTTTTTAATGCCATCTGTTTGGCCTTGCCTGGATGGCGGATGATCTGGATGACATCATCAACATATGCAATGTATTCACCGTGAATTGGTGGCGGCATGTCTGAAGTGTAGATTGTGTAGAGTTGGGGAGTTACTTCCATTGTGGTACTCCACTATAAAGTCTGAAGCTTGGGCCTATGTGATTGCCTATTATAATGTGTGCTTCTCTATGGTCTAAGAAATTACAAAGAAGAGAGGTGAAGTTGTTAGGGAGTTCTTGATTGGCTATTTTATATTTAAGTCCTGGTGCCAGACCTTATCGAACGCTTTTGCCACATCCCTTAAAACTACGTTGCACTGTTCTTTATTATGCATTGCGTTTGCTATACTTTCGTATACCTGTATAAGGGCTATGACTGTGTTTGTTCCTGTGTTTCCTAAATCCACATTGTCTAGGGTTGTACTGCCAATCACTTCTCGACTAGTATTTGGTGTCAGAAAGTCACAAAAAATTGGTAAACTTAATTTAATATGAGTTAATAGATCGCGTGCATGTACCTAACCTACGTGCATCATATATAAATTGTTGTCAATATGTAAAAAGTCATGTATTGTCAGTTAATAACTGTTTTAAAGTATTTTAAGTTTTATTACCTTAAATGTGACTTTTTTCCTGTGACTTTTTTCCTAGCCAAAACTGACTTTTTTTCTGTGACTTTTCCTGTGACTTTATTACCGTTCACCGGTACAGGTACCGTCTTTGTATATTGCATGTCAGTAACTTCTTTGTATATTAAATATTTGTAGTGTATTATAGACATACACTCACCAAAAGTCCCTTATTATTTATTGTGAGGGTGAAACCGAACCTCTGACGTCAGAACTGTATCAATCGACTAGACATTTCCTGAACGTCACACGGGAATAGGATGCGGTCTTCACAACGAGTGTGGAGAAATTCTTACTGGAGAAACTCCCACCAGTTTGTTTCCTTTAAATAATAAAACCTTGAAGTTGGGTTTGCTTTAGGTAAAGTAGGCTATACTATGTAAAATTGGGCTAGATTTAGTAAGGCTTCATTTACTTTACTTTTATCCTCTTCACCACTGATCGGCTCTTTTTGTTAGGTTAGGTTACGATTGTTCAGGTATTGATTATAATAACAATTACTTTAGCCTATATAAATTAATGGTTCACCTGGAGATTAGCCACCATATTATATTTTATCTGAAAATTAAGGCTAACCTAACATAACCCCCTCAGATAGTGTTAGGGTGGTTAATCTTAGGGTGAAATAAATTAAGGTCTATATATTCTATAGACCTTGAAGTAAACATCTGTGTCTAATCTTTGGACGATCCAAATTTATTTAAAACACAAAGAAAAACAGAAACGAACAAATAAAAAAAATCGTTGTGGGGTACTACGGTATTGGTTTGGCTCAGTTACTTTTGTTTAAATTAGGTTTGATTAAGTTGGGTATTTGAAACTTTTTAGCGTACAACCTTGGATTCGGATTCACACAGATATATTTATTTACCATAGAATTTCAATATAATTTCTGTCATTTTGAAGCGTTGATTAAGATATGGATTTAGTCAACTGGTAAGTGCGCTCGTACTTCTCCAATTACAATGAAAATTTGGCATGTGAACCTTGATAATTCGAGCCCTAGGCAGGGTTCTCAAGTTCCCCGTAACTGGGGATATACCGACGGCTGACTTAAGTTACAGCACACTCCAAATTGGCATCAGAATTACTCTAAGACCACCTTATCTAGGTATTATTACTTGTCATCACTGATAGTACAGTATACAGATATCTCTTCAGTACCATCTTTACTCAAGTTCACACTGGTTCAGCCGGTGCATAGGCAGTTCAAGTAAACAACACTGAATAACGCAATGACCACAGGGATAAATCAAGAAAGCTGTTATAAACTTAACGCATTCGGTACATACCCTGACCTCGATCTCCTTTCTCCCTTCCACAAAACGATGATGCTGACAGCATCGATATAATCTATACTCTCACATGACGGGACAAGAAACACCAGTTGCACATTTACCTAGCAGAAAGAACAATGACGTTTAAAAACAAGGCTCTGTAGTCCGATAGGTGACGGGCAAGTCTGAGCTAACCTCAACAAAGCCAATAAAATCTAAATTAACCAAATCGAATTTAACTAAGTAAAAATGGTTTCAACTAAAACAAAAAATACACCCAAACACGTCATCAAAATTCTACCGAAATTCAATGACCCTTCATAAACAAGTTCACTTACCACTAGATATGGGACAAAATTCGAAACGGTCAAAGCATGCATTCGTGTATGACTGTATCATTTATTTCTTCAAGTACACATGTGCACGTATCGTCCCGATACGTGCACGACCTTCGGTAACAAAATGAACTCTAACGTAAATACATATCTGTTTATTGTCTGAAACATGTCATGACTGTCCTTGATAGCCGTGTAACACTTAAGAGAGCAAACACAGTCTTTCAAATGGAAATAAGCAGATAACTTGTAAATGTTATAGTATGCTAACAAAGGGTACGAACACACTAGCCTCACACCGACCCCCTACCAATTCTAATCTGTGTGTGTGTGTGTGCGTGCACCGTTGGCTGCTGGGCGGGGTGTGTGTGTTGCACCATGTAGTTACGCTAACGTCACTAAATTGTTTTTTCTTCTGATATTTTCTGTGTTCTGATATATGGGTTTGGCATATAAGTTGAGAAGCAAGTAAAGTAAGCACAATGAAACACGACAATGCGACATTAACGAGATCCGGACAAAAGCCCCCCAGTTAAAGTGTTTGGTTAGGTTACGTTAGGTTTATTTCACCAAAAGATTAACCACCCGAACACTAACCTTACCTAACTCCTCGAGTAGCGTTTAGGGTGGTTAATTTTCAGCTGATCCGTAGAAGCCTTCATCCCGAATTTACCTCAGTAATCGAATTAACATACTTAAAAAAATAGTACAATACAACCATCTGAATGTGTTGATCCCTTTTCATCATACAATTATAATTATGTTACACGTTCATCTTAACACGTCCAAGACATGCTTATTACATGTCCCGTACCTCTAGCCTGGGGTGGCACTATTTCACGTTAAACACCTGAACCGGTCGAGACATGTCAGGTACCTGTTGATGCTAGGGCCAGTATGATTCAGGTAAATGAACTGTGCCTGATGGATCAATTAATTATTGATCGATCCGCCCAACAACGCTAACTCTTAGTTTGTTCTACCTCAGATAAATGTACTGGTTGTGAAATGTCCTTCATTGACTTCAAAATGGCTTCAATATGCCCATGATATTGGTCAGATTAAAAAAAATCAGGCTTACAACGCACCCCCCACCCCCCCCACCCCCCAAAAAAAAATCCAGCTGGGTGGGCTCGCTACGCTCGCCATGTTCTCCCACCCGTAACTTCTTGGACCTCTCCTTTTGATATTCCTGGATCCACCCCTGCTCAGTCATATCAATATTGTGAACATTATCCACTCACTCTGTTTCTGTATTTTTCTAACAAAAATAAACTGTATCAATATCAATATCATTGGTAATGTCATTGTATGACGCGGTTCGCCATCAGAACATACGTTTTGAGCATATTTCCCCACCAATCAAAATTTAACATCCTGCCGAGATGTACAATGACATCATCAAGGAAGGTTATGATTGGTGGATGGTGTCAGCGCCACACCCTTATTGCGCACTGACGGCTTGCGCAGCCAGGAGAACGGTATAAAGGTTCGGGAGGCGTGCCGCGCACTTCATACTTAGCTGAGTAACTCGCACGCAAAGTTGTGCTCATCTTTGTGTGTTCTACGTACCTTGTATTCCATACTTATAGTATTAAGAAACTCTTGGAAAATACCCGTCTGCAGCTGTGTTTGTGAGATTTCAATGGAGTATTCGGCTATTGATTTAATAAATAAAATGGCACCTCAAGACGCAAGTGACGATTTGTTGAACCTGGACTTCTTGGAGAGGAGTATGAGCGAGCTGGTGGACTACATCAACATTGAGGGCAATGAAGTTATGTCTGACCTTCCAAGTGATCCTGCCGACATTGTGAACTGTACATCAGTGAACTACAATTGCAACACGGACGTTTTGAACATGTCGACACCAGAAGTAGTGACAACGATGAATGCAACAGAGGCGATATCTTTCTCAATGATGCGCAGTGATGATATGTTTAGTGATGGTGGTGATTTATTAGACTGGACCCCCTTAACTGACGTCTCATATGCCAACCCCGTAGAAACTTCTCCTGAAGTGTTATCGGTACCCAACCCCTCCATTGCTGAATTTTCTGAAATCAGTACTCAGCACTTGACAGAAATGTCACCTGTTCAAGAAGTTCTTAACACCGAGGACGAAGAGCTTATGACAACTGTCTCTACTAAAGAAATTTTGCAATTAGAACCACCCAAGAAACGTGG